TAAACAGCAGGCAAAGTTAATCACGGAGTCGGTTTAAAAACACAATATTTTTGGTCATGGTATACTTGGCATCGACGGCGATATAAAAGGTTATTGCTTTCTTAAAAGTATTAAATCAAAAATAAGTCTGTAATAAAATATTGGCACACACTGAAAGACTGAAATAAAATATAGTATTGCACATAGTCTAAGCTTTAAATGACAGCGTTCTCTCACAACACAATATGTTCCATTTGAAATTTCAACGTTGCAAGTGATTTTAGTGATTTTAGATAAAACCGGTAATACAGCAAAGAGAAAATATTTTTAACTTATAGGTCAAAACGAACTATCGCCATATACCAAGTGTCACAACAATATCTATTTTGTTTCTCATAAAACTTTTAATGGACGGTCATCGTGGAAAATTCTCTATAGTGGAAAAAATTGCTCAATTTTCGATGTTCGATTGAGTTAATCGAATGTTCAAAATTAAGGAAAATATCCTCTTATCGGTTATTGAACCTTAAGCGAGGTTTACATGTTATGTAAAATAAAAAATATATATAAATCACCTTTATTTTTCAGTCGGCCAAAGGCAGCTGAGCTGTTAACTTAACCGAGCAAGTAAAACAATCCATTGTTCAACTTACAATAGGGCAAATTTTGCAACAAATATCATAAATAAATAAGTAGACGTATCTAACAATACAAGAACAATAGACTAACAATAACAATTACGTAGGAAAAAGGTGGTGTTGCCAAAAACAAAAAATCAAAATAGTAGAAGAATAATTTAAGGAATAAAATTATCAACGCTAATCTACATTTAATAAAAGCACAAAAATATAAGTTACAATATAATTTTTTTAGCAGTTTCTTTTTAATTTTCTTTTTTAGAGATGTTGTAGATGAGTTTCTGAGCAGACTTATCGCGGGGCAACTTAACAAAAAGATAAGAAAATGAATTCTGAAACATCGCTTTGTGCATTTTTGGTATTTCATGAAGATTGTAAAAAGGTATCATTTTTACCATCAAATATTCCGGGTATCCAGTTTTGAGCAACTTATGTAAAAAGCAGGCTAGGTGAAGTTTTTGTCTAACGGCGATGTTAAGCCAGCGAAATTCTATCAACTTTTCACTTACATGATTTTTCGGTTTTAGATTGAATATGAAATGAATATATGGGTTTTGCACTTTTTGTGGCTAATTAGGAACATGGATCAAATACATGATTCCAATAGTGTGACACAAGACTAACGCTTACGACACTGATTTTTTTAACTTTCAGTTAAGAATATGTTTGTTTTTTTTTTAAGTTCCTTAATTTACAATAACCTTTTTGTATAATTTTTGAAAACATGAGTCTTGAACCTTAATTAATTATCAAAAATTGCGCCCAAGTTTTTGCATTCGGAAACAACCGGTATTTTGACATTATTAATTGAATTGTCGAGCAGCTTACTAGCCCAATCTTTAAATGGTTCGAAATAAATAGCCCATTATTATGTGAGTATATTGACATCTTTTCTTCACTGTTATTTAACTTCTTTAAAACTCATGTTTATGGGTAGTAAATTTGCCTGCCCAACAGTCAAAACAGAGCTGAAAGTTTGATCTTTCGTTCATAATTGAGGTATTTTACAAATTTCATTGTTTCCTTTCGAAATAGGAAACCCATTTTTGAACGATGGGCTAGATGTTGGTATGAATTAATTAATTTCAAACACAAACGGAGGAACGGAAGCGAAGTTTCGATTTGTTCACTTTCGGATTGTACACCCTATATTTATTTGCTTTTTTGAATTTAGTGATAAGAACAAAGGCAACTTTCATCGACAAATTTGATTTCCGCGCAGTTTTAAAATTTAATTGAAAAATCAGCATATTAAGAAAAGCCGGCAAAATAGATATTAGGCTAACTACTAATAATTACAAAAAGAATTTATACATCTTTAACAGAACGCACATTAAACATCTTCTATACCTATATACAGCGTGTTGTCAGATGGGATCTTCATGGGGAAAAATATCTGAATTAATCATTTTACGACCTAAAGTTCTGTTTGTTGAGAAAATGAATTTAAAATAAAGAAATGCTAGCTCAGATATACAGGGTATTAACAAATTAGAAAAATAGGAAAGTGCCATTGTTTATTATTTAGAACAAAATTTTATTTAACAAAATTGTTTATCCACTAGCAAAATAAAAATTCGAACATTTTGAAATAAAATAATAATACTCATTGTTTTCAATTAGTTATGGATTTTAGGAAAAAAATTATAAAATGTTTAATGAAACTGGATCCGTGGTGAACTTTAACAAACCATGGAAAAATACGCCGAAAATGACTGAGCTATATTATTAACAATTGTACATAACCCGGAATTATCATTAAGGAAGCGTGCACAAGCTGTTTTTAAGCAAAACAAAATTAAAGCATTGATAAGGAGAGACACTTGGGGATTTCTTTATGTTCCTTTAAAACCGAAAATTTCATAGAATTATTTTTTAGCGATGAGTGTACATTTTGCACTAAATTGTTGTCATTGGACTTACGAGAATCTTAATTATAATGTGTGGTGGTGCTTGGCCGTGCGCGAGTGTGTGTTAGAAGTATACAGAATTCAGGCCAGTACCTGACTGAATAGGACATAAAAGGAAGCCTACCGGAGGTCAATAGCGGCTGGAGCGCCAGCTGTGTGGTGAGTTAGCTGTTTGTCCATCGTTTATTTAAGTTTACGTCCCGAAATTGTCGGACGGATTTTATTTTGTTATTTTTATGTCTTGTTTTAAAAGCAATACAAATCCACGCATTAGACTTCGTGATTTATCATCTCGCCCTATGAACCAATGTTCTTACAGACATTAGAAGATTAGATTGCTGTTATTGGGTCGAATCTAATTTTTTTAATGACAATTTTTGAAAAATATTGTTTCCCGATGATCATTCACCACAAATGGGGTTGCATCATCTTAAAATACTGAACAAGGGATAATCACCAATGGCTTATAAATTGTAAAGATCAATTTTCCCAGAATATCTGGGATTTTCATTTTGATTTAATAATAGGTCCCGTTTTCTTAAATGAATAATTAAATGCTGGTAGTTTAGTTAACTTTTCCGATGGCAGTTATGGGATGCTATATAAAAACGTCTTCTCAATGTGCGACAGGATATTTCAAGCTAGATGGTGCATCCATTCACAATTCAATTTGTCTCAGTGGTTAAACCACAAATTTCCTATGCGCTGGATGGTCGTTTTGAAACCTAGCCTGCCATTTTAGAGTTTTTTCCTTCTCCTTTTGGGGTTGTTTCTGCCTTTCCCTTTCGAACTCGTCATCCGAAATTTTTGGACGATTAGTCAGTTGTCATCTAGTCACCAGGTCAGGTCTAAAATTGTTAACCAAGATTAGACGTATTATTAGGGAGCTTCACGAGTGCGCCCCTACTCACTGGGTAACTGCTTTCTGCGGGAATACTTCCCTTGTGCCCTACCAACCACCAACTATAACTCAGTTGAGAATAAATGTAGCCCGAGTCATAATCATCAACAGTCGCCAATCGTTTCTTTTTTGCGTCAAGTTATTAACCCATTAACGCCCAAATTTTTTTTTTTACGAAACCTAATTATTTTTTTTTAGAGATTCCAACCGTATTTTGGATCACTAAACTTATTATTTTGGAAATAAGTTATTATGTTCTTCCAAAAACTGCTGTACCCGTATGAGAACGCTGTTATAATATGAAATAAAAAAAGATAAAAAACTGTATAAGTTTATTCCGATTTATTTGAGGAGTAACTTTTTGTGTGAAAATCGTTAAAACAACCAGGCATGCAAAGTGTAATATTACATTTTTGGCAAAATGTTCGTGTTTTTCCTGTGCAGTTCATCATTTAACATCTTTTTTGTTTTTCCCTCACGTCAAACTCTATGTTATCTGGCACAATTGTCTGGGATGTATTTGGAAGACTGACCATACGAAATTCCTTGATTGACATCCTCTTTTCCCCCTTGTGCACGATATGGCAAAGCACGCAACCGTTCACAATACATAATTAGTGATTAGTTATGGCTGTGGTGTTGGTACTTGTTTGATTGATCCTAGTTCTTCCATCTTTGTACTTGCGTTACAGAAGTGATTGAGTTATAATTGATAGCAAGTGAGACATTTCTTGTCATTAAATCTACAGACAAGAATTTTATTGTTATCGTCAAATCGTCAATCATATGATCATTGATCTTTGATCCTTTACCAAAATATTTGATAACATTGTAGGGTATTTTGTTCAGTTTTCCCATATCGTACGAGAAGCACGAAAGCCTTTTTGTTTTAGATCACACAAGGAGATTATAACTTTATAAATATATTAGTCAATTCTCCAAATATTGACTTTGTTGGCGAAACGTCAGCAAGTTCGATTCAACAACAACTGACGTAGGAGGAATCCAGAAGTTTTGTTAATAGTATCATGAGAAAGCTTTAAAACTACGACAATTAAACTCATCACTAAAATTCTTGCATGTACCATCCGAGACAATGTTCGTCTTTTAGGTCCGTCCCATCAAACAATATATAAGTAGAAACTAGTTTCACTTTGGCTCTGAAGAAGCCAAGAAGCGCAACGTCAACAAGTTCGATTCATCAACAACCGAGGCAGCAGGAACCCAGAAGATTTATAAATCGTATTACGGTAGCCCATATAGCCATTAGACATAGCTATATGCGGTTGCATGTTTAAGTCTCCTTGAAAAATTACTCTGCAATTTATTTATTTTTTAGTTAAATATCGAGAAGTTCATGACTAAGCAATATATACATCGTCTTTGAAGTTAACCATCTAGAGTCTCAAATTTTTGGCATGATGTTTCATAAATTACAATTTTTTTCACAAAGTGTTGAACTAAAGTCACTAAACTAACCAAAATTTCCAAAAAATAAGAAAACTATGAAGAGAAACTAAATTTTGTACTAGAACTCGATGAATCACTGAAAAGGACAAAACAAACACGAAATAAGTTGAAATTTAATATTTTAATAACACTAGTAATTGCTAGTTAAATTCTATGGAGTCCCAAAAACTGTACATCCGGGTTCAAGTACGTTGCTTGCTGTTGGAGATTCTTGATTCAAATATACACCGAAACGTATCTTACCCTGAAACTCTCGCGATAATGTTTGTAGCGGTTCCTTCGATGTTTCACCGGTTTGCTGATCTATACAGATCATTTGGCATCTCGTACACTCCCTCAAAAACTAAAATAATATCCTAAAGACATCATGTGAAAATATTTTTTATTAACAAATTGAGGTAATTTTCTATCCTGGGGATAGTTTATGCATCTCAAATAATTAATAGTCTGACTGACTGATTTCTGGTGTTCTTTTGATGTGCTTGATATTTTTCGACCTGTTTCTGCGATGTATTGATTGTTACAGCTGCCATGCTGTAAACATCTGCTGTTTTTTAAAGGAATTTTATCTTTTACCGATCGTAGATGTGGGGAGATTTTTGGGCAAGTACAGAATCTAGTTTCGATGTTATGTTTTTTCTGAATTTTGATCGGTGACATTTGGAACATAGAGGAGTATTACAGTGGCAAACGGGGGTTGAGAACTGAGGTGAGATGTGTTAATTCCTGGTTTAGAGATTCGACCTGAGACAGAAATATTGCTCTGAAAACTATGATTGAGGTGTCGATTCGTATGAGTCTCTGTTTGCTATAGACGTAATGGTCTAAAGTTAAGTCTGGTTTTCGGTCAATATTAATGTCTAGGAAAGGAAGAGTATTCTTGTTTTCTAATTCGATTGTCAAATTGATGTTTGTGTTTATGGAGTTGAGATAGTTTAGAAATGTTGGACGAGATTCCTCAACTTGTGGCCAAGTAACGAAAAATCATCTACATATCTTTTCCAGAACTTCGGTTTTACATGGCTAGTTTTTCAAATTGTCCCATCAAATGATGACAGGGACAAGTGGGCAACCCGTAGGTGTTTCAATTTAGGCTAAATAAATCATCATCCCAAACTGCAAATAAAATCCGTTTCGAGACAGCCAAAATTATCAAAAAAGCTAAACCCAACACCAAATATTCCAAAATACGAAGGGAAACGCCGCTGTTCTCATGAATTTTACCGACTTCCAAGGGAAAATTCAAGACATCCACCCTGACGGTTCTTGGAATGGAACCGAAAATTAAATCTATCATTAAAGCTTCACCTTTTCCGGAATCCATAAAAAAGACGGTCACTCTTCAAAAAAATTCCCAAAACAAATCTTCCTCTTCGACCTATCGACAGCACCAATGTACTCTTTGGCCAAATATCTAGCCTCAATTTTAAAACCTTTCACAGGAAAAAGTTCCAGTTTTGTACTCAATTCTTTTCATTATATTCAAGAACTGAAAAGTATTAAGTGAGATCCAGGCTACATTCTAGTAAGTTTTGACATTAAATCTCCTTTTCCAAAATTTTCTGAGACACTAAACATCTAATCTAAACATAAAATACAATTCACATGAAACCAAAAAACTTACGAAAAATATCATGAGAGAGCTATGTGTAAGTAAGTAAGTTCATAAGTGACAATGACAATTAATAATAAAAATATTAACCAGACCAAAAGAACACCAGAGATCAGTCAGACATCAGCTGTTTTTTTGAACTTAAGTTGTTTTAATCATAATATTGTAGGTTAGGTTTTTACTGGTAAGTTGTTATCTCTTTCCGGTAAATTAATTATTTTGCGATTATGTCAGAAAACTCCACCTGTTTATTAAAATGCATTAAAGCTCTTGGCAGAGATATACATTGATTTAGAAAAATGTTCGAACTCCCAAACCATTTTAAAATAGTACTCACTGTAATTATGTTTAACGTTTGAAATTTAGATATTACATGCGGCACCTAGAAACTCGAAAATAATTTTATCTTGGTCGATTTACTTATTAAAATTTGTTTTCAAATTTCTAGGACTCCCCGTTTCCCTAATACCGTACCTCGTTGCTCTTGCTGGCAAAACCCGGCGTAAACAAAGCAAAACGACTATATTTTAACAATTCTTACGGGGAAAAGCACTACGGCTGCCGTTTTCATAAATTTTCCCAAAACGTATCGCATACCTTGAACGCAATATCCCCTATGCGGAATATTTTGAGTGAAATTTCTGCAAAGGGCTCATCAAATGCGACTACGAGATTCGGTCTAAAACGTAAAACGAGGGACTCCAAAGTTTGTTCGCGCTGCTCGTCACCTGGAATTCGGCCTTTCAACCACTGCACACTCGCTAAGTTGACCAGAAGGAATTGGGCTTCATTCGCCAGCGACATCCGGGCTTCTCCTGTGCAAAATTAAACAGGTCAGTGATTATCAAACAGTCCGTGTTATAAGATGCAATATTGTGTTTTGGTTTACTCTCTAGATTTCAATACTGAACATGACCGACAGCAGATTAGCAATTTATGGGGAACGTTAGTTTTTATTTGATTTTTTGTATAAATTTTTGTTCAGTAACATGGCGAATAGATCTTTAATTATTTTCGAGCAAATACCGCACTTATACATTTTTAAATTGGTCACCCTGTGTATTTATGGATAGTAAGATTGAGTGTCAAGCAAACAATAAAAACATAATTTCGATTTTTTTGGTTGGCCATTGACAGATTATAAACATTTAAAACAGAACATATGCGGTAATTTTTATTTAGCCTAAGAAAAATAGACACCTTTAGACCCCTACTATAATAAAACTAGTCATTATTATTAAAAAAAAAACAATGAACTTTGTTTTAATTGTGCAAAAGAAAAATCTTATATTGATGGCGTTTCTAGAAACACAATTTCTTTAGCATTTCCCAAATCGGCCATTGTTTGGTGCTGGACTGTATATGTTATATCAAATCAAAATCGATAACTCGGGTGACCTAAAGGGCCATCTTATAGGCTATTTGTTCTCACCCAGTGGCCAGAAAAAATAGTGTTAGGATAGGTACTGAAACTTCGCGCATAGTCAGCGGGAGCTCCGTCTTGTTGCAAATATGAATTATTACTACAGCTTCTTGTAACGGTCTATCTAATGCAAAAAAAGAAACATATTCATTTAATATATAAAACAAACAAACAAAATAACAAAACAAATATTGATAAGTAATATAAAATATCACTTTCAAAAAAAAAAAAAGTAAAACTTTTCTGCAACGCTCATAAAAATCGAAATGAAAACCTAATTTTAACAAAAAACAACGCACTTCTCCATAGCGATGGATTTCGAACTGTTTTTTTGTTGACAAACTCTATTTCAGCCTCAACAATCAATCAAACTATAACCTGTGAACCAAAAAGGTCAAACTTTTTAAAAAAAGTAACTTTTACATATTTCTGCTGCCAAAATAATAAAGAGGGCGCAACATTTTACGTTCCTAATATGTATTTTAACTATTAGATTATGGCATATAAGATACGGACCTTCCTTAAGTGAAGAATGAATGAATGAATATGAGTTTCTAAGGTAAAATCAATGTCCCCACTATATTCTTTGTTAAAAATTTTGTTAAGGTGTTCTCTTGTTTTTCTTTCTTCAAAACTCGTAAGAATTTTAGAGGTTTCCATACTTTTTGTTTACAATGTCATCTATCAAATGTATTAACATTAAAAAGTTTGCCCATTTTGCAAATCATTCTACCAGTAATTGAATTCCCATACAGTTTAAAACATTCAGACAGTATTGATTATAGCACAAAATAACCAATTAAAAATAGACATTGTATATTTCGCTGACTCAACAATGTGCATAACATAAAGGGTTAATCAGAGTCGCGCAATGGAGATATATCTCAGAAATTCTGCGGAGTTTCTAATTAGGCTAATGAATCGGGTGATCCGAAAGAAAAAAACTATGTTGTTTAAATTTGGTGAACAAAGCGGCGACTCGGTAGTTCCTTTTCGTCCAACACACCTATTTGGAGACATTTGATTCAGGTACTCTCTTATATATTGTGTATAATGGGGAGGTTGAAAACATACGCGGTTATCAATCATCCCTAGTTCTCCATTTCTGATAATCAGGATTCCAGTCGGAGTTCAACAAGCGAACGGATATTGCAAAGCTATTTGGGAGGTGACTTGAATCCTTAAAAGGGTGAAATATTTTTCACCAGTGAAAATTTCGTCCATAAAAAGAAAGGCCCTATAATTTTCTACCAATTATTCTAACCCACCGCTTTTGAGGACGTTGAGTACGATGTTCTAGCATACAATGGATATTTTCGTTAGGGTAAAAGAGGATATATCTTGCAAAATTTGAATTTAGAACCGACTAACCTTGTATGCACATAATTTTATTAGTAATCAATGCATCTGTTGTTGTTGTTGCCTTTTAAACTTTAAAATTAGCACTCAATTATAAAGTTTTTCTACTGAAAACCACATACTCCATAATTATCTCTCGAATCTAATGAATCGTGCTGAGAGTCGTCTATTTCTAAGTAAGAAAGTTGAGATATGAATCAACTTTCTTACTTAGTTTCAAAGTTAGATGTTGTTTTTTCAACATTATACGTTTGGTTTCCTAATTAATTTTGGGAAAGTGATTTTCGTCGGAAGTAGTTAAAAAACATTTTGTAAATATGTAATGACAAATTTGAACTAATTCAAGCGTTCAACCGTGTTGTGTTCTTCCCATTTTATACCATGACCTATTAAAATCAAACCGATCTTACCGTTCCCGTGAAAATGTTACATGCTTATTTCCTTGACACGACAATCTTGAACCACATAAACGCAATTTTCAAAATTATTTTCTGAATTAACTTTATGCAAATAACAACTACAAAACTATTCGGCACTGTGCGCCGGCCAGGATGTAAGTTTTGAACCATATAATAATAATTATGATAATCCACTTTATGCATAATAATCAAAGTAGAAATGTACGAAAATATATACAAGGCGCAGTCTAGTCTAGGCTCAGACCATTCAAATTTAACCCTGGTAAAAGAGACTAAAACCTAGTTTAAGTAGATAGCGCCTCATGTTATGAACACACCATCTAAGATAAATTATATTGTATTATCTGTTGTTTCCTATGCAAAAACTATAATAACAAATATATGCCTACTAATAACAAAAAAAATTAAAAGACGAAAATTATATATGCCGTGAGTACAAACCCTCTAATAAGCCATAAGTTACTTGAGAAGGGCTTAGAATTTGTGGCAAAAAATTATAAATTTGAATGTTGTTATAAGTAAAATTTTTTTTGTTCTGTGCTTCACTAATAAAAAATTTAATTTGTTACTGGTATCGCCCACGCATGGGGCAGTGGCCGGGGACGAAAAGAGCAGGAGCAAGGCTTGACAAACTGCAGAGATTTGCTTGCCTCTGCATAACGGGCGCCATGAGAACGGCGCCGACGAGGGCCCTAGAAGCTCTGGTGGGTTTGCCCTCTCTGGCGGATCGGGTGCAGATGGAGTCGGCCAGGACGGCTGTGAGGCTGGCGAGCTGCGGGCTCTGTAGAGAGGGAACCTTCAATCGGGGCCCGAACGGCATTTTAGAGGGCTGGCCCGGGGATAGCGGGGTGATGGGCATCCTGAGTGACATCATGATCCCCGAGATGACCTTCTTTGACAAATGGACCTTTCTCTTCCCATGAAGGGAAGAGTGGAGAGAGGGCAGAGTTGGCTCCTGAGATGGACTTGTTTGGTACGCGGACGGGTCTAGAATGGGAAATTTGGCCGGAGCTGGAGCGTACTGCGAGACAACGGGATCGAGCTTGTCGGTCCCTCTGGGTCAGTACTGCACTGTGTTTCAGGCGGAAATTTTCGCTTTATTGATGGCGGCCAGAGAGGTGCTTCTTCGGCTCAACCATGGAAGCAGGAGGGTCTTCTTCTGCTCGGATAGTAAGGCTGCACTTATGGCGCTGAAGTCAGCGCGTACGCGCTCCTTGTTGATAACGGAGTGCAAAAGGGTACTGAGGTAGTGGCTGAGGAGAGGAAGGTCACGTTGGTCTGTGTCCCGGGTCACACCAGTATCCGGGGCAATGAGGCAGCGGACGCCTTAGCCAGGGGGGGCTCCTCGCATAGGCATATGGGACCTGAGAACAGCTTGGAGATCGCCCCGTGTGTGAGGCTTACTCCGGGAATGAGGCAGGCGAGGCTTATGATGGATGGGCCCGCCCTCCCTCGGACCAGGGAGCTGCTTAGACTGACCAGAAAGGAGTGTAGAGCACTAACAAGTGCCCTGCTTTGACATGGGCAAGATTGGGAGTCTTCGGAACGGCCCTGATAGATCCGGACTCAGTACACGGTATTGGGCTAAAGGAGTTGCTGACCTTCTATAGGAGGAGCGGCATCTGGGCGCCCTCTAGAGCGGCCTGGGGGCACAACGGGCCCATCTGGTGGCCTAAGTGCTTGGACGCCCGCGAGGGCGCCCCCCTTTAATACCAATACTGGTATCGCTGTTATGCATATCAGAGTTAAAACTTTTTAAAGCAAGAAAAGAGCTTTTTTGCCAAACAGCCGAAATAACAAGTCCTTCGTTAAAACAAGTTCAAGTTGAAATATGAAGTGTTATATGAACGGATTTTCTTCGGTTAAATATCAAATGACAGCAACTGCAGTGCCAAAGACAGGGAGCATAGATAAAGCTTAGCTAGTAGTTAGAAAATGACGATTGAAGTGCACGGTATTGGGATAAAGGAGTTGCTGACCTTCTATAGGAGGAGCGGCATCTGGACGCCCTCTAGAGCGGCCTGTGAGCACAACGGGCCCATCTGGTGGCCTAAGTGCTTGGACGCCCGCGAGGACGCCCCCCTTTAATACCAATACCAATACTGGTATCGCTGTTATGCATATCAGAGTTAAAACTTTTTAAAGCAAGAAAAGAGCTTTTTGCCAAACATCCGAAATAACAAGTCCTTCGTTAAAACAAGTTCAAGTTGAAATATGAAGTGTTATATGAACCGATTTTCTTCGGTTAAATATCAAACGACAGCAACTGCAGTGCCTAAGACAGGGAGCATAGATAAAGCTTAGCTAGTAGTTAGAAAATGACGATTGAAGTAGTTGCTTAAGTGACATATATATCATTTGTGTAAGAATTTTTGTATGTTGGGTAAAGAGTTCTTCTTTGGCAAATAACCCTTCTAAAAAGCAATTTGTTTAAAGGTATAATACTGTGAAAAATTGCTAGTTTATATAAATTAAAATAAGAAGGATTTGGAATGGTGGTGTTAATACGAAAAGGTTTATGAAAAATGGAGCAAGTATGAAAATTATTTCTCACACATCTATAGAGTTAATTGAACTAATTGAACTATTAAGTTCTTCTATTTAATGTTAATTTAATATTATGGATAGCGAAATGATTATAGATTTGGGTATATGCTACCACATATATGCGCAAACCGTTAGTATGCATAATAACTAAGTGTTTTAGGAATTATGCGCAATTGCTGAAACTGTTATTCATCAATATTAATGTACGCATATACGGTACTCCAATAGAAAAAGTGAGAAAGTTTAAATATCTCGAGTGCTGGATTACCCAAAACCTTGATCCGGAGACCGAAATTCGAGCACGAATTGAAAACGCAAGACCCACGTTTGCGAGAATGAAAACATTCCTAACAAATACTACCCTGTCACTGGATACTCGATACCGTTTTGTGAAAAAATACATTCATTCTATTCTCTTATACGGCATGGAATCTTGGACAATTTGAAAGAGAATAATGCAACGACTGAAAGCATTTGAAATGCAGACTTTTGAAGATTCCATGGACAAAACTAATTACAAATGAAAATGTTAGAAGAATGATGAGAACAGAACTCATGCAGTACGAGACACGGCGCAAAATCAGCTATTTAGCACATAAAGGAGAAAAATCTCAACTTTTGAGACTCATCATGGAAGAAACGCTAGGGGACCGTAGCAGTCCCGGACGACGAAAATGTTCATGGCTTAAAAACATAAGAGAGTGGACAAGATTAGACACATGAACCCTATTGAGAACGGCAAGAAATAGAGAAGAGTTTGCTGCCATTGTCGCCAACCTTCAGTAATGAAGGAGGCACCTAAAAAAGAATCATTATCAATGGATAAGTTATTATGCACAATCATAAACAGTTTTCAGTAATTAAGCACAATTTTTAAAATGCTCGGTTATTATGCAATATCACAACAGTTTCAGTAATTAGGCATAATTCCTAATATGCTCAGTTATTATTCATACTGTTTTCGGATATTTGCGGCTTATAAAAGTCCTACTGAACATATTGCTTTATCAAAAAAAAAAAGTTGTAATTGACAATATTACTTAAATATTAATATAACATCATACTCGCTGCATTCAAAGTTACTTGCCTCTTTTGCATTTTCGACCAGAAATTTCATTGTTGAATTCGCATTGCCTGAGCAGTCGCAATCCCGGATAATCCAACATCGCTGACAACCATTCGCTCACGTTGTCGCCACAGTCATAACCTTGAACTTGGTCGCTACAAACTTTACTTTTACAAAAATATGCCTCTTTTAAGTCGCTTTCCGATAAATCAAGCGGAATTTCGATTTGGTTTTCATCTAAAAAAAATTGCCAAGGTTGCTATTATAATCTATTCACATAATTTTCAATTCTGTGGCATACGTAAAAGCAAATATTTACCTCTGAAAGTGATTTTCAACTTATTTCTATTGATATCCAATTCAGGTTTGATGAGACACAACCGTTTAATTTGCTTTTGCGTTATACATGTTCCGGATGGACCTACCACCATCCACTGTCGATCGTATTTCAGCCCCAGTTCGGTCAGTTTCCATGGTTCCTGCGGGGAATACGGACTACAAGATTTTATTGGATACAAAAAAATCTTTTCGAGGTGGCCTTTTGTAACCTAAAACATTTTTTTTACTTAATATTCTAGAGATGTTTAGGTTGTTGCTGACTTTTAGTCAATCATCCTGTTAGCTTGTTCAGAGCTTATCCGAGACTGAATTTCAATCGACTCCGTAACTGCTTATATATTGTTTAACGGCGGCGGATCTAAGGGAGGCGCATGAACATTGTCTCGGAGGACTGATTCCCATATTGCTGAATGGTAAAGCAATGTATCACGGTTAGAACTGTTTGGTTGTTTAGAAATTTATATGAGTTCTCGGATTTTTGCTAGAACAATTGATTACATGCAAGAATGTTAGTTTGATCGATTGAGATTGGTTTTATGGTTGAGTTTGTAATCTCCTTATGAGTCTATTTGTCGCAGTCTTTACCATATATGGTATTTTTCGTCCTATTTTTCAATATTCCCTTTGCCCGAAAACTCCTGCTATCTTAAGCAAAATGTTGTTTTTTGTTGGCGATACATTTACGCAACAACTCATTTTCACGATCGGATTAGATTCATTTTGGCGACAACAGACAGTATAACGTGCGGCTGTGGCAAAAAATACATAGGGAAAACAGGTCGAAGAATCACCGACTGAAACTGGTAAGATTAATTTCTACACTGACAGTTTTGTTAAGTTGTAGAGACCATAACGTTATCCCTAATTTTCTTACAATATCCCATCATGTCAAAACCGCTTTTAAAATTATTCGTAAATCTAGTTTTGCTTTACTTCCAGAAAGCATTCATGGAAAAATGTGAAAAAATAGACAAAATCAATAAGATTCTTCTGTCTCTACATCTTAAAATTGCTTCCATTTGGTCCCCATGTTCGATGCCCTTTCAAACTTGCTCCGTCACAAAGCTGAAAATCTTCGTTTATCTTCTACCCAGATATTTTTTAAAAACTATCATCAATGCTAGTGAAATCACCAAACTCTTCTCAACGACCAAACGCTGTCGTAAATGTACCGTACCAACTGTCTGACACGGAAAAATTAATTCTTGCGAAAGGTTCCAACTTCGTCCTTGCCCCACGTATTATCCCAAAATGAGAAAATCATTTCAAATGCCGTTTCTATCCTAAACAAACTACCATCTCAAACAACTAATACGATTTGAAACAGCAAAAATCCTTAAAAAATCAAAACCTCCCAAATATAATATTCCAAAGCCTCAATTCTAAATGGAGATAAAAGAAATGAACACAAATGAACACCAGGAAAAAAATAAAGATATTCTTACTGACGGATCCTATCGTCAACTTCTACGCACCCTATGAAACGCAACCTTAAATCTGTTATGAAGGCTTCTTTTCTATCAGAATGCGTGAAAAATTATGTCACCCCTAATGACTCTAAATTTTGTCGACTCCACGAACTCCCTAAGATTCACAAACCAGGATTACCCCTTCAACCTATTGTCAGCATATTCTCTAGCAAAATATCTTGCTTCTATATTAAAAGCTTGATATGAAAAACTGGTAATTTGGTATTTAATTCCTTTCATTTCAATTAATAATTAAAAAGAATTACATTCTGGTTAGATTCGACGTAGCTTTACTAACGTCCCTATTCCTGAAACATTCAACATTATATATATATATATATATATATATATATATATATATATATATATATATATATATATATATATATATATATATATATATATATATATATATAGTGGAGTTCCTACAGCTTCTGCCGCATTCCACATTTCGACCGCCATTTATCTTTATTCCTGCACTCATCTTCTTTAATTGCTCTGTCCTTCATTATATTTCTTATACCATCGTTCCATGAGGTCATTCTTTTTTCCATCTGTTTTTGGGTGTTTTAGTGCTCTTTTTGGCCATCTCTCATCGTTCATTCTCTGTACGTTCAAGATTATTTGAGATATATTAAAATTCGACAATCTGAAACCAAACCTTCTCATCTTAATTGAAAACTGCGTGTGTGGAACATATTTAAAACGGTCAAATTTTTGAACAAACGTCGGAGTATTAGCTACAGTCATCGCGAATATATTTATAGAAGCCTTTGAAAAGAAAACTCTCTACACCTATCACCTAAAACCAAAATTATGGAAACGCTACGTTACGCTACATAAAATACACTTCACCACAACTTTGCAAAGACAATCAGTCTAAAAACTACCCCAGACTTGCGACTGTTGTCCGTCCTTCCTTAGAGTCAAAACAACACTCACCACATATCAAAGTTTCTTGAGAAATATAACTTCAAAATCAGATTTACCACTTGTCCAAAAATCTAACAACATCTTCGATTCGTCAAAGACAAAATTTCGTTTGAAATACCAGTTGCTTGCAGCATTTTATGCATATGCGACAAAGAATACATTACACAATACAACTGCGCTCGAATAACATGAAAGAGCCTTAATACTAAGACAAATATATTTATCAGTAGTTGCCGAACACAATCGCGAAAGCCGACATCGAATTTTATTAAATAAAACTAAAAGTCTTGCATGTAATCCATTCTTCCACCAATGAAAAATTCGAGAATCTATAGAAATCCATAAGCAAACAAACAATCTTAACCGCGACTCAGGTCTTTACCCTTCACCAATATGGCAATCAGTCAACCGAGGGCTCTCCTTTAGTTTCTTCTATTCTATTTGCAATATTTATTTCATTTTTTTTTGTCCTTTGAAACCAGTAACAATGGACGTGAAGTATTAATTTGAAAATTTACTTTGTTTTTACAAAGAATCCGCGCAAGTGCACAAAAATACGGGGTGTTTTATTTTAAATGAAAACACACACAACTTTTTTATTTGTTTTTTCTTTTAAAATTGGAAACGATAGTGCTGCCAGGAAAATACTAAAACCAACGAGGTTAGTTTTATCTAAAAATATTTGTTAGTCCAGCTCTGTTAAGTTAATTTGGTAGCTATATAATTCAAGCTATACAATCCCATTGAAAAAGTTGCCAGCCTCTATAATTTAGGGGTTAGTAGTGAAGGAAAACAATTAATTTTTTGTTAAATTACAACTTCTACTTAAAACATTGTTCTTCAAACTTAAACTGGACGACGACGCGGGACAAAGTTTTACCCAACAACGGTTCAACTATACGAATGATACTTAAAGTTAGACAGTCAGCTGGTCATATTTGATACCAAGCGGAGAGCGAATCTTGAAAACAAAAATAAATTCTTCTTCAAATACATTTGCTAGGATTAATGTCTTACAACTTTATACGGACCAGATCTCGAGGGATAACACTTGTCCTAAGAAACTGTCGACGGTCGAACAAATCCCTTAGATTATGTCTACTATTTGTTCGCTCGTCTAACGCTTTAAATAGTTTCGATGGAATAATTCAACGTCCCCTCGATATGATTGTAATTATATTGATTGCCTGGAAAATGTTAAATTTTACAAAAGTACGAATTTCGCTCGTTCTTTCGGATGAAAAATGTGCATGTAGCAAAATAACAGCTATTAATGTTTAATTTTCTTGATATTTTATAATTAATAACATCGATAATGGAAATATACGAGGTACGATGATAGATAGATATACAGATAGAGGCTTCACATTCCTAAAGGAAGATAAGCCGCTTTTAGGAAACTTTTTAATCCAATTGACGAAGTGAATCAATTCCCATTTCTGCTGTTTCGTACTTTTCTCATGAAGTTTCTCCATTCTCTTCTTACTGCCCGCTCTCCCGCTCTTCTCATGTCCTCCTTAACTTTCTCTAACAATCTTGATCTGGATCTTTTCCTCCTTTTCCCTCATGCTCTACACACATGCTCCAACCCCTGAGATTTAAATCTGCTAGTATCTCCTGGTTGGTTCTAGTCCTCTAATTATTTTCGTCTACCCCCAACAGGGACTACCATATTTTCTTCATCTCTTTTCGTCAGTGCCATGGTTTAGGCTGCATACAATTAAGTTTGTTTTGTAAATCTTTGAGTTTTTTGATTATTACTTATTGATTTATATTATTCCTGACAGGTCCTGATTGTTATAAAAATCTCTATTGGCTGATGCTATGTTTTTTTCAAGTTCAATATCTCTTTCGCCCATGCTAGATAACATCACTCCTAAGTTTACTGCTCAAAGCTATTATTTCTCATTTTAATCACGCTATTATCAGTTCTTCCTCCAAAGATCATTATTTACACTAGGTTCTAGGGGATCGCCATCGGCACAGAAATAATCAGGGCCGAAAAAAATTGTTTTTTGTCTGTCCGTTCTCCGTTTTCTGATCTCGTCTTTTGGTTTTTATTTTTGAATGGTTTGAGCTACGAAATTGAGATTCACTTTCTGTTTGTCTCCATGCGGCACATAAGCTTACAAAAAATGGCTTCGATCAGACGCCGTCATCTATTTTTTTTTGCAATTTTCGATTGTTTTTTGAACATCGGTATGCAACACTGTAAGTGTCCGAAATTTGAAGTTATTGCCATGAAATTTGGCACACATATAGTGCTTACCTCCCAGATCAAAAGTTAAAAACCATATTTGTAAGGGCCCAAGAAAAAAATCAATTCTCAAAAATCGTTTATGCAATAGAAAAAATTATCCCCAAAAAGATCCATGAGATCGAGTGCTACAAGTCTATATTTTTTATAATTTTCAAAAATATATAGGATGTGCGCGGTATTTGCAAGAAAACGTAAAATTTGGTTCCCCTTACAAAGATAATTGACCATAACTAGAAGGTTCCGTTTCAGTTGTCCGTTTGTTTAACAAGGCCTTATAGGGCAGCTAAAACTTTTGTGTTTAAGGTGTTCACATATTGCACAGGGTATTCCGGATATTCTGTGCTATATTCAAAAACGTAATAGGTGTCTTAAATTTGCAGCTATCGACTTCAAATTTAGCAGAAAAGTAAAAGTCGGTACCCGCATCTAAACTTTGGAAACTGGAAGCAATCAAATCTCGCCAAGTATTTTTTAAAAATTTGTGATTTTTTTTAGGTTGTTTTGGCTTCCAGAAAAAAATCATTTTCTTGAAAACTATTAACGGCAAAATTATTAAACAAGGAGGCGCGGAAAATCTTGTGCTATAATTTTTACTTTCGGCATTTTTTTAAAATGAAAATTCTGAACAAAATGCTACAATTTTTGTATTTATATTCGTCATTATTTTACAGCATTTTCTCGCAAACCATTTTCTCTTTTGAAAAAATTCGTATTACGTATTGCGTATTACGAACATATTTTGAATTATATTCGGGGTGTGTCGTTTATGGGCAAAAATTTCTGCAAGATTCTGAAAATTTTCGTTTTTGTGGGTAAGTTATTTTTCATAAATAAAAAACTGTTTAAGATGAGATAATTTGGTTTAAACAGTATCGTAAACTGTGTCAAATATCCTTGGAAATCGCTATTAATGATACTTTTTTTTTCAAAGAAACTTCCACAGGCTATTGTAACATTTTTTACAAAACTTCTGGATTCTTCCTGCGTCGGTTTTTGCTGAGTCGAAATTGCTGACGTTTCGCCAATCATCCTGTTGGCTTCTTCAGAACTTGACTTTGACAGGCATTAGATAACGATATGGCAATCGTGATAATTTATTATAATGTAAATTATAATATAAAATATTTGAAAACAGCTAAACATGTCAAAATGCAAAAATTTCAGCTACTAATTTAGTGCCCTTCGAAGGAATTGTAAAAAAATAGTGAACATAAATAATGATATTTTATTTTCATTTTAAATAATTTTTGGTATCTTTAATAATAGCTTACCGCGTTGTTTTTTTAAACTAGATTATTGTGAATTAATAACAACCCGGTAGAGTGGAAGATATTCAGATGCATATCATTGAATTTATTTCTTTTTTCAGTAAATTATTTTTTTATCATTATGACAGTAAAATCCACCTGTTGGCATAGTAAGCAACCCAAATCGCGTCACTTAAAGCACATTAGTAGTCTATGAAAAACCTTTTTTAACGACTTCACGTTTATTAAAATGTGTTTAGCCTTTTTTGACATATTGGTATAGAAAATAAAAAAAAACCTACAGAGTGCGCGCAATTGCTTTCTATTAGTATTCTGCTTACACTCTCCAATGTTCTGCAGCAAATAGTGCACAAGCAATCAAGCAAGAATCAGAATCTGTTTTGTCAATTCGTATCATCCTTTTTAAATGACAGAACGCAAAAACTAATACATGACGAATGAACTTTTAGACCTTTGGCTCTTAGCAAGAAAGTATGCTAGGGTGGAATGTTGGGCCTATTTCTGTTTGCGAATCTTAGGTCCAGGTTTGCAACATCATAACATCATGAGCGTTTTGTGATTTTGACGATGACACTCAAATGTAATAGTCTTTTTCTAAAAAAGGCCTTAACGAAGCAAGCACTGAACATATGCTCGTACTTAATCTTTCATCAGTGATGATTTGAAAATGACAATTAAACTGATAATAATAGCAACAATAATTCTATAGAGAACTCTGTTTTGCTTTTTTGTGGCATATCCAAAAGAAAAGGACTTACTCTAGATTCTCGGCTAATGTTTATAGGCACGTTACAAGCCAGTTAAAGGTTGCCTGCAGTAATCTAAAATTCATTTATGGAAGTCGTCACAGGAATCTAAAAAGCTTGTTTGAGATACCCTTGTACTGCATAGTTTAATCATGATAACAGCGTATTCATGCCTTGTTCAGCTAATATTGCGTAATCGAGTTCGATAAACTCATATTTCACCATATCTTGTTAGGTCACAATTTTTGAGAATTTTTGCCATCTTCTTTCCTGGTGATGGTCTGTTTTTACGGATAACGAATGGATAATGAGTAAAAAAAAAATAAACTTCTTCTGTGACATTCTGCAGAAATGTTAATCAAATTCAAATAAGCTGAAAACCTTAGAAAATAAGCTAAACAACAACATTTTTGTCGATCTAACTCGTTTGTAACACGTCTAACAAAATATACAGGACCATCTATCTGCATCCTGATCCGCTGACGAATATGAGGAGGCATAGTTTATAACAATATAACAATAATAATAATATAACAATTGGTCGTAAAAAATTCGAGAAACAGCGCTGTTCAAGTGACCATCAAGAAAGTATGGACCTACCATTCGGCTTGCAATTATTCCACCCCACCCGTTAGCAGTGCATCTCTGCTGGTGATCAAGGCTTTTAGAGTATTAGGATTTTGTTAGTATAGTGACAGCACGTTTTCAAATCATATTTTGTGCGCCACCACACTTTTCTAAAATCCATAAACAAAATAACAATGATCAAACATAATCTTTTTCAAGAAGCTGTTGATTTAGTTAAATATGATACGGACTAAATTTGTGTTATTATTTAAAGGCTCTATATGCATATTCCAGTGTGAGGGTTTTCAACCAAAGATTAGATTTCTAACGATAACAGATATTTTTGTCGTTATGGTTTAATATAAGACACACCGCCTGTGTCATGAAAAAGCTGCAACAAATTTTCCATTGAACACCTATTAGAATGAAGACTGATAGCTTACACTCAACGATGACCAAAATCATATCAATTCGCTTTTCCTGAGGGGGAGGAGTAGAAGAGACATCGATGGGAAACACATATATGATATCAATAATATTATAGTATTATAATTTAATTCTGCGTCAAACCAAGCCACTAACTGCCGGATCTTAAATTTAACTTTAGGAAGTTACTTAATAAAATGTGTGATCAAAATCTGGGTCACTTTTTTCACCACACTTTGTAGAATATTGAAGTGAAGCTTTAACATCGAAATTAAGAGGTTTAGGTATAGAAAATGCAACAATAACTTACATATATTTGGTACAGAGTGTCTCCGAGATGGGGACGTCACATGAGATATCAAAATGGTTAAATTCAAAAAAATAGCGCAAATTGAAAATGTTAATAACAAGTTCTTGAGAAAATTAATAAAATTCCGAAGATATGCAAAAAAAAACTGAATTTGCCGATTCGACTTGTTATTGTTATTTAAAGAGCTATAAAAATGAAAATAACTTTTTTTGTCACTTTTTAAACTCTACACGATAAGGGTGAGAGATTTTAAGTAAAACGTTTCTTTTCTACAAAATTTTCAATGATTTGTCAAAATAATGTTATTAACATATTGGTACATGCCGCTTTTTAACATTGTTATTGTGTCTTTTTGCTGTTCTTTCTTCTGGCCATTCATAATGGAAAGTGCTATTTTATCTGATGAGAACTTCGATATGCGACAATGTTATATCTTATGCTATAGTAATGCCGTTGCAGCTGGCGGTCTTTAAATAACTACCCAGAGAGAAGACAACCGTGTACACAAATTATCCAGAAATAAATGAAGAAAAAGTAAATAATTTATTGTTAGTTGTAACTTAAAATCCGGAAGCATCAGTTAAAAAATATCGCCAAATCTTCTGCTCATTTCATTTTAAGAAAATAAGAACTTCACGGGTTCAAATTTAGGAATTGTCAAACGCTCAGAGCTGGTAATGAATGAAAGTGAAAAACATTTTGCAAATGGTATGCTAGGAAGTGTCAGAAAGATGGAAACTTTCACCATAAGATTATTTGGTCGGACAAAACTAAAAAATGATGGAACTTTTAAACGGCGAAATGCTCATTGTTGGGCAAGAGGCAGTCCTTGAATACACCGAATATCTAGACATCGACATTGTTTTTGGTTTAATATGTAGGTTCGGATTTATGGAACACATTTAGTGCCTTTTTCTAGGATGGTTCTCTAACTCTGAGCGTTAGTGCAACCTCCTGGACCACGACGAGGACGTGGCTCGCATCCATAGAAAATAACCTTGACTTGGTAAAAGGACACATTCCGCACGCTAGATCGGTCTATAATTGACTAGTTTACGGGCAAAGGAGGGAGTAGAAAAATGCTATTTAATACAAGGTGTAGTTTTTTCAGGCACCATATGAAAAAATAAATTTGATGATTATGTCGCCGAAACGAAATGTACTTAAATAACACAAAAAAAAATAAAAACAAAATAGGCAAATTTACGTTTTTTTGGTGTATCTTCGTGAATGATGGAAATTTTTAGTTTTATCAATAGCAAGTTGTTAGGTTTTAAATTTTGTAGCTTTTTCTAATCTCGTAGTTTCGCATCCCTTATGATTTCCATATCATTATCTTGGACATACTGAGTAGAGTAACCAATGGTATAATAAAATTTTGTATAATTTTGTGATTTGTATAATTTCAAATCATTTTGGAATACGCCCCTTGTGGTCCCACATAATACCGCTAACAGTTTTCCCCTTTGATTTGCTATACAAAAACCGAAAATATGGTGGACTACCCTGTATACTCTATTTCTTAAACTTGGATTAGTAACATTACTACCTTAATTTATTTTAACTTCAATCGTGGCGTCTAAAAAATGGTGGATCAGTTAACAGAAACGGTAATTTTCACTTTTTTCCACAAAAACCACATTCTACTTCCTACTATTTACGGGACTCATTGCGTAGTAAACTGAGCTCCATAGTAACGAAATATTTCGATAAGATGATTTAAAGAAAATATTGTATAAAATACGCCAACGAACGTTTGAACCCGCAGGCTTTGCCCACTCATCCGTAATCTGCTATGATTACCTTATATATATCGGAGGTGTTAACGATCTTTCCGTTTTGCAGCGTTTGTCCAATCGCCGAAACTTTTGAGGGGATCGCAGAAGTCCTTTCGTCTACAGAAATTTTTCCACAATCGATAAGATCTCCGTCGAAATGTGTTTTTGTAGAAAACGTCGGCGGCGGTTTTCGCACAACCGGTTTCAAAATAAAATAATTTTCAACCATTGACAGAAATCTATCGACATCTTCGTAGGTGGACATATAGCCGAAGGATACTCGCACTGATCCCGTTGGAAATCCATTTACTAAATCGTGCTCGTCTCCGCACACGTGGCCCGCCTGAAAAAATGTAGTATGACTTATAGTATAGCTTTATATAGCTTGCGCCAGCTACATATTTTCTGACAAATTTTTGTTTCTTTATCCATCTTTTTTTTTATTCCTTTTACTTTAATAGAATATTTAGGAGTGTTTTTAAAGAATCTCGAAGAATTCCTGTGGAATACCCAAGAATTTCGAGTTGAATTCCGTTTATTTACGTCTAATTCAGTGGAACTCTAGTAGAATTATGTGGAATTCCGTAGAATTTGATACTTGAAAGAGTAATTACGGTATACATACCGGGTAAAATATGTAAAATCTATCAAACTAATAATTAACATCGTAGTTTTCTTCAAATCAGTACAAGTTAAGTGAAAACACCAAAATCGATAAAAATAATAATAAAGAAAGATATACGCGTAAGAAGAAAATGCACCATACTGAATGTGTGTCTTACACCAAAAAAGGTAACTGAAAATTTAACAAAAAAAAATATAATTTATTTTGTTAAAGTTCTCTAGTAAGTCTGAAATAAATCGTGCTTAAATTATTACTGAATTGATCTAAAATTAACTAATATAGTCTTTACAAAGCTTGTCCGCTATTGGAAGTATCTTCTGCTGAGCTTTTCTATGTAGATATTAGGGTAACTAAATTTCAACTTATGGGCAGTAAAAGTAATCGGAAAAATGAGAGCGAAATTATGGCTAGTTTCGTCACAAATTGTATACTCAGGTAGTTACTTGATCACAAAAAATATCAAAAACGTTTTTCAATCAGGAAGGACGGACAAAAAATAAACTTCGCTTCAAACTGTGTTCCCGCTGAAGTCGAAAAATGTCGATTTAGTGTTCTCACGAGACTTGGGGTCAGACGTAAAAGTTGCTCAAACAAAATTTCCTTCAGCATTTGTACTCCAGATATGAGAAACTTTTAATGATTGGGGAGGTCGATCAGAACTCCATAAAAACTTTGATAGTCACCTATAACTCAAAGAATATTACTAGTAAAATATATATTCAAGTTGCAGCAGAATCCTGGTAATTTTCGATCGGTTTAAAACATTGGGACTTTGGGAAATTTATATATCAACTAGTTTTATATTTATTAATCAGGACAATAATATTGAACGGAAAGTTATCTAGGTTTCGTTAAGTCTCTACTAAGGATTTAGCATACAAAGAATGCAATTGCTTCCAGATGATTTTAAAAAATACTTACCTCAAACTGTTTCCTAATATCGGATGTACTTAGTTTCAAATGCCTCTGACAGGCGCCCGGATTACAAAAACAGCCGGTTCTCAAATGCATTCCGTGTAAATTGCACATGTGCAATACCTAGAATAAGACAAAACATGAGCAACACAGTATATTTCTCAAAAAAGCCAAGCTTTTTTGAGAAATTACATTATGCAATACACTATTTTTGATGCAAGTCGTTTGGTGACATTAATACCAAAGCTATATATGAGAGTTGCTTCATTCGAGGCTAAACGTGCGACTATCAGCCTCCTTCCTCGCAATTCTGTTGCTGCTGTTAAGAAGGGCAAACCAGATACGGTATGTCCCAGTACAGAAATTTCTGTAATTTCTCAGAGAAATTCCCAAAGGCTATTTTAATATTATTTGCAAACCTTCTGGATCTCTCTTGCGTAGGTTGTTGATGAATTGAGCCTTAAATCTGAATTCTTTAGTTTAGTTTAGTTTAGTCAGATATGATTTGATGTCCGGCTTCGTGATTTTGGTTGGCAACTGCAGATGAGTTTATTTGTGGTAGTATTTTAGGTTTTCTTATCTTCAAACGTAATTTATTAAATAATAAATACATCAGAACAAATATTAGAGTACATCAAAGACATCTAACGAAGTGTTTATGTGTGATCCAAAGAAACAAATAATATATATACTCCTTAATATCCTTGGCAAACCTGCACAAAGATTACGCAAAAACTACTATCCTCGAGATAATGTTTATAAAAGCTTATTTTTTAATTGTTTGTTGGCAATGACCATGTTTGGCAAAGTGAAAGAGTTTCTGAGGGTAGTAGTCTGTCTGGGCATATCAAATTATGTTTTCTAAAGGCATAATTACGAAAATCTTTTTTGTTATATAATTTAGAAAAAGCGCATTGAATTTATTTACACTACCTTTCTATAATTTGATCTAATTTGGTAAAATCAAAAAATATAGAGTGTTGACTTAGACCTCTATTCATTTTTGGCAGTTTTGGTATTGGTTTATGTTACATTTAGAGATATATTGGTGATTTGGGGGGCCAGTGAGTTATAAATATTGTCATTAATTCACTTATTTCATAGTTGTGCAATATTATTGTGGATAGAGGACTTGGTTTTTAAACAATATCTTTATAGTAGTGTTTTGGTTAGTCATAATAATAGTCTTAACAAAAAACAGAGAAATTCCCTTAATATATAAAATGTATGAAATGGTGCTTATATTTTTTTCGCAACGTATGTGATGTGAATGTCCCGCCTCAAGGTTTATCGATTTGTACTCTCAGGTATTTGGTAAAACTCACTTGTTCAATGGAGTCGATACGTATATTCTGATAGTTCGATCTATCCGAGTCACTTTTATTTGAATTTTTTTGGATTTACTAATAACTTAAACGAATCTTAAAAATATTAAATCCGAGATAATCCCTCTTGTAATTTAGTCCTTGCTTCTTGCCATGTATCATCCATAAAACTAAGGCTGTCTCGTCTGCATTTATATAGATGCTAAAAAAGCACAGCGAAATGAACAAAAAAAGCGAATATGCATTATGATTACTTGAAAACAGAGGTAGCCTCCAGTTTCGTGAATGCAAAAGAGAAAAATATTTTTATATGTATTAAATTTCCTTTTACTGGTGGGATAGAAAGCAGAGTTTTTTTATTTACTAGATTAACAGAAGATGAGTTGTTTAGATCTTCGACAACTTTTTAGCTAATTCAAAATTCTCAGCATTAAATATAGCAGCGCTAAACTAAATTCCCTAGCGAGTTTTTAATGACTTTGGTGATAATATGGTGTTGTAACATGTGAAGTGAAGTGCTTTTAGAAATACTTTTTTTATTTGATTAATCACATCATTTACCAATGGAAACTGGTATCTTATATATTCAGCTAAGCAATTGATGCCATGAGCCAAACAAGCAACATGAAATAGGTTAGAATCATTTTTAAATTTTGTGCTGCCCTAACCATATAGCGTGCAGCATCCAAAAAAGGAGTATAATTTTTTCTGTCGCAACACTGTTAGGTAAAAAAAAGTTGGTTAATGTAACTTGAACAAATCTGGTTGCACTTAAATTGTTGTTTTTTTTTTTCAAAATCAAATAGGCTCTACCATAATCATTGGTTTCCTCTAAGACTCCGACCTATGCGTGTGCAATGTATCTCCCACAAAATCAACTACAAGAGAAAAATAATTTTCAATTTTTTTTGAATGTTATTTCTAGTTTGATTTTATCAAACCACTCCACCAAATCATCAACACCACTTTTACGTACAGTTTAACTAGCTCCAATAACAGGGTATTTATTTGGTAATAAAATGCAATAAATTTTCCATTATTGGAAAAAAATGCTTGCACTTACTAATAAAACTTTCTATTTTAGCGTGCTGTTCCCGATCTATTAGATAATTATGTAAAAGTTAAGATTTATTTCCACTGATACCATACTTCTCCAATACCCGTAACTAAATTGGTGCGAAACCATATCAAATGCTTCAGGTGAGTCATAGGCTATCCCAAAAACATTTTTTGTATTTGTCCAGGTTCATCAACATCAACTGTACCAACATCCGCTGTACTGATTTTATGATATTATATTGTTTTGGCGAAAAAAAAACAACAATCTCTTCTTCAGATATTTGTTGATGATATGACACTTAGCGCTTTGTAATTTTCCAGTTGTTGTTTGTTTCCAGCTTTGAAAAATCGACTTACTACTGACACTTTAAAGTATTTTGGTTCTTCTCAACTTTTAAACATTAAGTTTATTATACGTGCTAAGTGTTAGTGAATAATACTTGGGTACTATTTTTAAAAATTTTACGGACATTTTATCATTACCAATAGATCTTTTATTTTATAGAGAAGTTATATATAAGTACTCGTAAAATGATTTGCTATATCTTTGGGATTCTTAAATGGTCAACACTTTCGAGTTTGGTATTTTCAATGTCCCTTTCATTTCTCTGTTTCATTTTTTATTTACTGCTTTATATATAATTTTAGAAATTTCTTTTATATTCTTACTGTTTTCATTTAATTTCATTTTGTAATCACGTTTTTTGTTAATGTAATGATTTTATTTAGCTAACTTTAATAGTTTCTAAATTTACTTGATATTTTTCGTGCTGTCTTTCCAATATATTCTTTGGCGAATTTTGTCACTGATGGATCGAAGATAATGAGAGATTTTTCGACAAGTGATAATTCTGGTGTAACCATTATATTTCTTAAGAATTTTTGAAATGTGGTCAGTAATGTTTTGAATATAAGCAAAGACCACAGTGGTAAATGCGGGGTTGCTTTCAGATTCATTTTCTTCGGGAGGTTGTGGTGAAGCTTATCCTGTAATGGAAAGCTAAATATCCCTAGTATTTGATAGAGAACTGGATGTTCAGAGTGTCAGTTCAGTTATTCGGGTTGAGATAGTTTTATAGAGAGGATTTGTAAGTACGTTGGTGTCAACCGCGGCTTAGGTCCTTACCTTTCACTAATACGGGAATTACGAGACAATGTTCATGTCCCCCCTTTAGCTCGGTTTCCCTCAGAACAGAATGTAAATCAATTTCTGTTAAGTTCTGAAAAAGCCAACTGAACGGGAAAATTTTACAACCTATGCAGAAGTAGTCTAGAAGGTTTGTAAAATTGGTACATGATCAAAATTGAAGACCAAAAAAAAAGCTCTTTCATCGTATCGTATGTCATTTAGGAGGCATTTAGGACCGTCGCCGTTGGAAGTTAAAAAACTTTTTATAATTTGTGTTCTAAATTATTCAGTCTTGAAATCTCAAACAGTAACTCTAAGAACAGCAATCTTCATAGAAGAGCTACTACTCAAAGAAGAATAGAAATGCCCGAATGAATGCAAAGTTTCTCTGATTCTCTGAAGTGGAGGAGGAAACATAATGGTCTGGGGATTTTTTCGTGACCTTGGGCACTTTAAAACCCAATTTCAATCAAAAAGATATTGTAGAATGCTACCCTTCGCAGAAGTAAAGATTCAATTATCGTGTCGATTTAAACAGGATACTGATCTCAAGCACGCATCCAAGTTAGTGAAATAATGGTTAAATAGGGATAAACATAACTGATTTGAACATCAGTGAACTTCTTTGGGATGTCTTGAGTCGGCATGTTCCAATGCATTCCAATGTTAAAAGTCAAGAGAAGAAAACAGTTACAAAATTCTTTATAAAATGAGCAGATACCGTTGTTAAGGACTTAGAAACCAAATGGCTTTTATTATTATCACTGTGGCAATAATATGGAATTTATTGTACTGAAGTGCCTTTTACTTGATGAAAATCCATTTAAAATAGTTAAATAAGAACAAACGTTGTTAAAATAAGAACAAACGTTGTTCAGATTTTCACATAAATATATTTCTAAAATCGTTCGAGGGAGTAAGTTTCAATGAAATAGATGCTTTAAATATTGCGTTTAAATAAAGCAGAGCAAATTTTGGCCGATTTTGACGCGCATCAAACAGCTCTCGAATTAATTACAGACGAAAATGAGTTGGATAACTTATACAAAGAACGCAATGATTTCGAAAATGCGTTTTATTCAACAATTTCGAAAGCAAAATTTTTGACTTCAAGGAAATGTCAAATCATGTCCGAGGGACGTTCCAGCGAAAGCCCGATTCGTGCTACAAACGTTGAACTGAAAGGTGTAAAATATCCGACAATAAATTTGCCAAAATTTGAAAAAATACCTTTGAGTAGCTAATACGTTAATACTTCCTAAGGCATCATTGGAAGGCGGTCCCGCGGAAGTTATTCGTTCAATCGAACAATTTATAATAACAATTGATTTCTCAGTTTGTGCGAAATGACACAAGAATAATTCTAACGTTGAATTCCATAGAATTTTATTTGAAACTGGATTATTATTATTATTATTACTGCAGTTATCGATAATTCCAAGGACATATTTGCATCATGCCAAATTAGTAAAACGAAATAGTCCAAAGAAAACTTTCTTCCAGACTTTCCTTTTTTGTACTGTTTTTCTCTTGACTGAGAGCCCGAAATACACTGGATTTATCTGGCCTTGCCTTTAGTAACATCCACAAACATAGCAACTTATGTTGTACATGCAGGATTTTCCCTCCAGTGTTTACGATTTGGATGAATCCAGAACCTCGCCGAATAGTGAACTAAACCAATCAATTTTTTTTATTCAAAATCGATTAAAAATCACAATAAACCACAGGAAACTTAAAAAATATAAATATCAAACACAACTAAGTTTACGGTTGTTTCGTAATTTAATTTTATCCAAGTTGAACGTAACATCATAATATCACGACCGAATAATTATAACATGACCGACGGAATAAAACCGTACCATAATATTTTTATCAAAACCATGAATCCTGACAATATTCCTGTAGTGCCCGAAAATTTCATACTCCTATTTAATAGCGTCCGTTTCTTTAGTTTGACGTCAAACCCGTTACCATTAATATCGTACAACGCATTCCGATGTCCGCTCGACGTCTGACAAAGTCACTTAAAACAATTAGTCACCGACCGACGTCTGGGCAATGATAACTTATTTGACGTCACAAATTGGTTGGTCTATAATGTTCACTTTTATTTACGTATCATTGGTTGCTTTCATGAAATTTCAACGGTTTAAAAGCAGTTTACGAGATATTTGACACTTGAAACTTATAGTCGACGAACATGTAATTGTGAGAAACTAACTAAAGGCATCCTTAACTTCGAGAAGCCCTTAAATTTTGAATTATTTGCAACTACACATTTTGCGGCTGTATCACTGACGTTTCGCCAAACGAGATTCACGAATTACCGAATTCCAAATAGAAGACAAGTGGAAACCTGTGTCGCCGTTTATATTATTGGGGCACTTGATTATTTCTATAGACTCGCGATTTTTTCGTATAGTATTTTCTTCTTATGGAATAAAATGTCGTGTCCAGTTTGATGACTATGTTTCGAAACCGCTGATGTAGTGATTAGTTGAAGTCTGACTGATCTCTGATGTTCTTTTAGTATACTTCATATTTTTTCACCTGTTTTCCCGATGTATTCTTTGGCACAGCTACACAGTATCCTGTAAACAGCTGCTGTCTGGAGAGAAACTTTATCTTTTACCGATGGTACACGTTGGTAGATTTTAGGACAAGTAGAGAATCTAGATTTTATGATATGTTTTTGATTTACAGAAATAATTTGTGCATGTGGTTTTAGTGAAATGTATTTTTGAATTGACTGTCTGATATCTCTATATCGGAAATTGCTTAAGAAGTGAGATTTGTTAATTCTTGGTTAAGAGGATTCGAGTTGATATTGCTCTGAAAAATAAGTAATTGATCACGTAGCATCTTTGGACTGGATGATGTTGCATTGAGTCCTTTTTCCATAGACGGAATTTCCCAAGGTTAGTCTGGATTTCGTTTGATAAGAATGTCTACGAAGGGAAGAGTGTTCTTATTTTAAAATTCAATTGTGAAATTGTTGCTTGTGTATATGGAGTTTAAATAGTTTAGAAATGATTGAAGAGATTCCTGGCTCTGTGACCAGAGAACAGACTACATTCATATTCACATTCGATCTTCATGTAAATTAGTATAGTCAGGTTTTAGGTAGTCCTGAATAAGAATTCATTGACATGCTGTTCTTAAAGAAATCTAACCAACAAAAAATATTTCAAAATTAAACCGTAATCACAGGTTTTACAAGAATGTAAAGCCTTAAGCGTCCCGCTGAACTATTAACAAAACTACACCGACTTTCTACATTATATTTTAAATACTATAAACTGGACTTCATCGTCAGATCATGTTTTTGTGCCATTTTCCACAAACCGCGCAAATCAAAAACTGGTAATAGGCGTGCAGGTGCTATGAGCGAGCCAAAGGTTCAAAGGTAAAAGGCAAATATTAAGAAATTCTTCTAACGGCCACGTTGTCAGCAGCTCCAGCATTGAAGAATAAATTCTCGAATAAAAACAGGCTGAGCAGTAGAGCATACGTAAATTTTATAACGGTGCCGAGCCAATCAGAAGGCGGCGGCTAGTTCCGATCATGGCGCGAAATTCAAACTGAATCGATCACATAGCGCCATTTAGGTAAATTCTTAATTACTTATGGTTGTAATTATTTTTTTTTTAATATCTTTAATGAATAAATAATAATTTATTAAAAATTGTAATCTTGTCTTTTAAAGTTTCGCTTCTATTGCTATTGTGCCCTATAAATATTAAGAATTAATCAATTAAATATAATAAATAAAACATAAACACAACCATTGATTGAAGTCTACGGTTATTTTAAAAATAATAAAATCATATATTTATAAATATAATAAAACCTAAAAATAATAAATACCATGTTCTACTTTTGTCTCCGTTCTAAATTAACAAAAAGGATCCATATTCTTGCAAGATGTTTGGTTGATATGAAGTGTGAAAAAAGAATAAAATAAAATATTCCATGTGAATCATAACGTAAAAGTTTCAAATAAAAGAAGTAAACTTACTTCTGTAGTTTCTTATTAAACAAAATTCTTTAACAACTCAATAAATCACATCATATTTCGATTTCGAATAATAATTTGAAAAAAGGGTAAATATAGAGTAAATATAGGGTAAAAACAGAAAACTCTGTCGATGTCGACATTCGCGCCAAAAAGAAATCATTTCGACACGTACGACAGGATTATGTCCGATAACAAACGAAGCGTAATTTGAATGAAAATGCCTTCTGGCGCCGTTAGCAAATTAACGCTGAAGCGAACCGCAGAGTGAAGCAACTTTATATATTATTTTGTAAAAGTTGCTAATACCTACTTCAGCGTATCCTACAATATGTCCACTAGGTCTTCTCAAATTAAAATTTACAATCCCTCCTTGGTAGCTGCGATCTTCAAAACCAGTTTCGTGATATAATTTTGCGACCGGTGCGCCATTGCAATGATGCAAGGACACCAGTTGAAAATATAAGTACCTCGCCAGATGAAACGTGTGTTGAGATATAACGTCGAAAGTTAGATTCAGTCTTTTCAGAGTATCAAATCCGTGCCTGACGGAGATTATGGATAGAAAGGGCAAAGTACCATCTTCGAAACTAAAACAGAATGAAATATGAGCGTATTTTCTGGATCCCTCCTGCGTCGGTTATTTTTGAACATAAGTTTTATCATTAAATTAGAAGTTAATAATAACTCCTATTCTTAGATTTTCTTAGACCTAACATTGGGTCATTCAGTTTATAGCAAACACATGCCGATACCACAATGAATTGCCACATTACCATGCGGCTCTAAATTCACATTTTGTCAACTCTCTTGCCCACATATCTCAATCCGATTCACTCGACCAATAATTAAAACACTTAACTTCTGCTCTTCTTTCAAATTCCACATTAAAGACATTAACCGTTCCATTACACAACCGCAACCTCCCCAAGAAAATAGCAACCTTACACTTGTCTGTATGGTTTAAAACATTACTAACCACATCAAAAAATTTCTGAAGAGATGCAATGGTAAAATTAGGTTTACTAATAGCAAATATCTCGGAAAATCTTCAATCCATCAAAGACAAAATTCCGTTCGAGACATCAGGCGTTTATAGCATTCCACGCATATGCAGCAAAGAATACACTAAAGAGACAGGACAAAAAATATCAATTACGATAAAGTCATCAACATTTGCCGAATATAAAAATGAAACCGGAAATCAACTTAAATTCTTGAATGTAATCAATTGTTCTACCTATAGAAATCCGAGAATCCATGAAAATCTCTCAACAACCAAACAATATTATCGGCAATGCTGGTTGTACGCAAGGATAGAGTAGAATGCAAATCAGTTCCAATTAAGCTCTGAGGAAGCCACAGGATTCACCGTAAGCGAGCTCTTAAAAAATCCATAGAACAAAAAAGGGATCTTTATAGTATACTGCAAGAATAATTACAATTTTTTACTTGAAAACTATTTTTCTGGCCTGACACGCAAATTTTACATATTGGAATGGAATTACATATTACACTTTTAACATAACTTAGTTTTGGTTGGTAACCACAGGGTATTGTTGGTTATAATTTTTTTACCAAACTATCACAAACTCTAATGGAATTTTAGCTTTAATGGAGCACAGATGTTAAAAGATTTTTGAACAAATATTATGCAGTAAAAAGATGCACAACTTAATCAAAAAACAAGGGAGCTGCTATATTATGGTTTTTTAGAGGCACATATTTGATACTTACTTGCATGTCTAATTACAGACTTCAAACAAAGCTTCAAAAATATTATTTGAATTGAACTTTAATATGCCCAGTGAAGAAATATAGAAAAAAATTAATTTAAAGAACAGATATTTAAATCTAATTGATCGTTAAGCAATACATTTGAATGTCGCATTTTGTTAATCTCCATGGCTTCCAGTAAATTTAATTTTCTACTTTTTGTGGCTGTGTGTAATATATCAAAATGGTCGTCAAAAATGTGTTTTTCTGTGTTTAAGTGTGTAGCATAATTAGAATCTAGACTATTGTTTTTAAACGCTCTTATATGTTCGTTAATGCGTGTCTTGAAGGATCTACCTGTTTGTCCAATATAAATTTTAGGACAAGATCCACATTTCAACCTGTAGACACCTGATTTTTGGGATTTTGGACATTTCGATTTATATCTCTAAAGAAGGTTTGATTATGGGAAACCCACTTAGGATAAGAGTGTTATTGATTTGGCCTATTTCCTTACGGACATGGTGAATTCTTTTTCGAAGTTAGGCAAAATTAGGTTTACGGAGAATTTTAGTATAATGGGGGATTTAAATAAAATTGGGAAGATTTTTAACTTTTTTACTTTGTAGACTAACTTTTTTGTTACGTAGTAGAGACCATGACGTTATTCCTGAAAACGGCAAACCAGTTTCAGTTAAGCTCTGAAGAAGCTAAGTGACTGGCAAAACGTCAGCAATTTCAACGCATGAAGAATCGAGACGAATTATTGCTGTGAAAGATTTTTTAAACAATTTGATTAAATGTTAGTTTTACTAACAGGATAGAATAAACACGCGTAATTAGAACTAGCGCTAGTGCACCTAAATTTAAACTCTCAGTGTGTATCGCGACAAAGGTGTATTTTTTAGCAGAAATTACTTACCGTTCATTTAAAATTGGTCTCGGTATCATTACGTTCTCAGAACTTAACGCCATTAGTACAGTGCCTCCTCCCAAATATCTCTTATTTAATAGATGTTCGCTCGTTCTCTTAACTAAAAGTGCTCCTAGACCGGTTGGGTAGCCGAATATTTTGTAAAAGGATATCGTTACAAAATCCGGGTTATACTTGTTGAGATCTAACCGATTTGTAGATACGAAAGAAGCAGCGTCCAATGTCACAAACCAATTTTGTAAAGCATTTTCATCCATTTGCCCATTCTGCACCTTTTTTATCCATGACAGAGGATACTTTCGGCCTGAAATTACTTAAATTGGAGCAAATTTTTCCATGTCTTCTAATGCTATGATAAGTGGATCTGATTAACTTTCATTAAGACGTTTCGGTTATCCCAGTTTTTTTTTAGAAAACGAGTGTATACTAAAGTCTATTTTAGAAAGCAGTAAAGAAATATAACCCATGCAAATAGAATAGAAAATTAGTATACAAAAGTGTACCAAAAAATGGGTAACTTTAGGCAAGTTTGATTGATGATCACTATTTTTTTAAATGGAAGACCCTTCCATTGAAATAAGTTCGAAATTTGATTGTTCATTTTAACAAATTTTTAATGAGTTCGAAATTCAATTCTGAGTAGAAAATAATTGATCCGATTGAAATTAATATAGTATGCCAGAATAATTATTAATAATTAATTATTATGCAACATCATTAGAAAAAATATCATACATGAAAATCTGACCACAATTGTTACACTCATTGCAATAATTATTTGACATGGCCGTCATTTAACCTACGGCATTCTAAAATATTTAAAGCTGACCTTATTTAAGTATTTAAGTTCTTTAGTATTTCTTTGTACACAAAATTTTTAATGTGAGCTCATGGAAAACAAAACCAAAGGAATGAAAAGTATATCTTTTTGGTTGATATCTATAGGAAAATGAGTTTCAAAAATACGATGTTTAGTATTTATAAAAAATTGAAAAGTAGACCTTCAAACTGAATTAATAGGCTTGTTGTTTGTGAAAATGTAGGATATTATTAGAAATAGAACACAGAACAATCAAATACAACCGTACTATTTCAGGAATTATGTATTAACTTTTTAAGTGCAAATAAATCTCTGAGCGGCGTATTACCCGAGAGCCTCGAATTGAATGGCTTCGCTTCTAATCACATCATCTCACAAAAACACGTTTAAAAAATATGCGACATTGTAATACTTGAAATCGGGCGACCGGTGGCGGCTCTAGTTATGTAAAAACAATATTTTCTTAAATAATATGCGATAACAAAGTTCTTATAATCGGCGCTTTTCTAACAATGTAGTACATTAAGGTAAGGTGCTATTTATGGTGACATATATATATATATATATATATATATATATATATATATATATATATATATATATATATATATATATATATATATATTCTCACGTATTAATTCACGGATGGAAAAATGTGATGACACTATATTCCGGGATATCATCCGTTCGCTCGTTGAACTCCGACTGGAATCTTGCAGACGTTTCGCCAAAATCTCACTTGGCATCTTCAATGCTCGCGCTCCGAGTGTTCGAAGTGTTTTCGGAGCGCGAGCATTGAAGTGTCATCACATTTTTCCATCCGTGAATCAATACGTGAGAATATATATATATATATATATATATATATATATATATATATATATATATATATATATATATATATATATATATATATATATATATATTAATTGTTAATGTTGTGAGAATTTAAGTTCAATAAAGGACAGGTATTTAAATCTAATTGATCGTTAAGCAATACATTTATTTAAGTGTCTCAATTTGTTCATCTCCATGGCTCCATGGCTGTATGTAAAATATCAAAATGTTCGTCAAAAATGTGTTTTTCTGTGTTTAAGTGTGTAGCATGAATTAGAATTTAGACTATTGTTTTTAAACGGTCTTTTATGTTCCTTGATGCGTTTCTTGAAGGATATACCTGTTTGTCCAATATAAATTTTAGGACAAGATCCACATTTCAACTATGTTTTCCTATGTATATAAATGTTTTAAATTGTTCGTGTTCTGTATTAGGTTTTGAATAAATAGAGTTTACTGATGTCTGTATTTGTTTTTTATTTATAATTTTATCTATAATGGACGGATTGTAGCGGTTGTTCAGTGCAATTTGTTTAATGATATTAAGTTCTTGTTGTAATTGTCTGTTGAGAGTGGCGAATCAAGAAGTCTGCGTATAAAAGAGTTAAACCTTTGTTTGTTATTTGTTTTGTGTGTATAAGGGTGATTCGAGCTATTATGTTTGACTGTGTCCGTGTGTGAAGGTTTATGATATATTGAAAAATGTAATTTGTTTTGCGCTTTCGTAATAGTTAAGTCTAAAAAATCAATAGAGTTATCCTGTTCAATCTCGATAGTGAATTTTATACGATTATGTATTGAATTAATGCAATTTAAAAAATAATTCAATTGTCTGTCCGTTCCAACAAAGCAAGCAAAGATATCATCCGCGTATCTATACCACCATAAAAAACTTTTACTTAAAGGATGTTCTAGTATGATATTTTCCAAATTATCCATAACAATCTCGGCTAACAAAGGACTCAGTGGGTTTCCCATAATCAAACCTTCTTTAGAGATACAAATCTGTCCATTAAATTCAAAATAATTTTGGTCTAAAGGTACTATTAAGCAATCTAATAAATCTTGTTTCACCAATGGGTTAACCTGTTCCCGAATTAGGGTGAAATCTACTAAATCTATGGCATCCATAGGAAATTATTTGATAGAAGAACAAGTAATAGGTGGTTTAATTCTGGGTTCAGTGATTCGGGTTAAAATAGTTTTACGGCTCTGGATGCTCATGTGAAAATGTTTTCTGTAAACTGAATGATTTAAATGATTACTATTATTTTTTTAATTCGATTTTAAAACGTATGTTAGAGTGTATAGAGTATAAATAGTAATGAAATGAGGTCAAATAACAAAAGTAAACCCTCAAGATGGTAATTTCGAGGGTTTTAGGAATAGAAACTTTAGTGAAGAGGGAATCTACGTCAGACAACCACAATGTCGTTTGGATCTAACGTAATGTCTTTTATTGTTCAGTGAAGTGAAAGGAAGTAAGTACAAAACTGTCCGTTTTCCCCGTAAAGGGTTTTAATATTGATATATTGAATAATTATGCTGGTTCGAAAGCGCAATTCTGGCTTGTAAACCTTAGGGAGTCCGCAGAAGCGAGGAATTTTAAAGTTGTGAAGAGCGACAAATTTTTTCACAGTATTTGATAGAGGTGAAGATTTTATAAAAAGTTTGATTCATCAACTACCGAGACAGGACTAACCACGAACATTTAAAAATTTTGTAAACGGTTTAAGTAAGCGGTTTCGTATTGCCAGAGCGGATGATAATGACAAGAAAATAACGTGTCATCAAAGTTTCGCTTTGATGAATTTTTAGCCTCACGTATTGTTGGATCTGCTTTAATTCGGTTTATTTTTTCTTGCCTATGGTTGGTTTTATTATACATATTTGATGTTGCTGGAGCTACATTTAAGTGGTTTTTATTATTTATGTTCCGTGCGCACGCTATCCGCAAAGGCTCTGTAAATTATAATAGTAAATATGCCTTCTTTCAACGGAATTAATTACGCTACTAAGTATAAATTTTCATTAAAACGCAATTCTGTATTTCGCTGTGGAAATTGGAATCATTCATATTTTATCATGATCCATTTTCACGAAAGTTTCCTTCGTGTAACCAGATTCAATTAAATTTGTCTGAGTCAGTTGCAAATTTATTCAACTATTAAATTTAATACTTGTTATCGAATTCGCAGTGCCGATTATGGAGCGGGGTTCTTGTTTTTGAAATATTTTCTACAGCGAACAAAATGGAACGCAAAATGTTAGAAATTTTTAGATATTTTTTGGGAAAATGATTAACCGAATATGGCAGTTTCGAGAACAAATGTCAGGCCTTTCGAAAAAATGTATTTTTAAAAATATATTAAAATTAGTACCAAAATTTGAATTTGTTAATTGGCTAGGATGCAATAGGTTTTTTAAAAGAAATATATATTATATAATATTAAATTTTTTTAAATTTTCAAATAATTTCAATTTATTTCAAAATTTATTTCAAAATCAGAGATACAAATTTCTGTCAGTAAAGAAAGTGAATTTGGGGCACCTAAATGAAACCCAGAGAATTGAAATTTTAATTTTTATTGAATATGGAGTCAAAACGAGAACTCGAGAAGAAGTTTGTCATTTGTGTACCATAAAATATCCAGGAAGACCCATTAGAAGATCCACAGCTAAAATTGAGATAACATTTATAGAGCAGAGCATGTTCAAAAATTAATGAGTATACAAGATTAAACATTTTATTAGCGCATCTTCTGAAGTAGATTCAAAGAATAGTGTTAGCCAATGAAGGGCTTTGTGTCTATTAAAAGAAGAAAAGTATCATCCGTACAAGATTGCAGCTTACAGTTTTGTGAGACTATGATGGAAATGTGCAAATTAAATCAAAATTAAATTTCTGTTTTTTATTCTTTTCTTTATTCTATAGGCCTCCTCTAGGACATTTTGATGTACTAGAAGTAAATTAGAATTGATGCTATCATTTTTGGATATAGAAAATACAATAAGCATTATTAGCGGTGATTTTAATACGGAACTATTAACTAAACAACAGATACATTTTTCTCTATCAGGTTTTTCCTTGTAACACGAGAGTAATATCAAATTCTAGTAGCTGCCTGAATAATATTTTCACAAATTTAGATCTTAATGAAAAATCTTTTGAAATACAGGTCCACATTCCTCATGATTTGGCACAAAAGTTGGATTTTTGTCTAAAAACTAATGATATGACCAATGTATATAAAAGATTCTTTTTAATGAAATAAAAGCATGCTGTTCATCATGCTGACCTTTTAGATTTAAATTTGCAATGTAACACTTTTATGAAGGAGTGTTTAAATATACGGCAAGGGTCGTTCATCTTAATTCATGAATGCTTTCCTTTTAAAATAGCTTACATCAACAAATAAAAGAAACCCACTAAAGTTGATTGATATTAAACAGAGACTTGATGTATTGTTAATTATATAGAATATCATAAATTTTTAACTGACGAAAAAAACCAATTATACGAAACGAAGATGGTAAATTCGGATCATAAAATAAAAAGCATTTAGTGAATTTGCGGCAAAATTACAGGAAAAATGAAAATTGAAAATGACCCTATTAAGCACTGGATAACTGTAATTCTAGATCTTCTGAACTCGCAAACTTATATTCCATTTCAAAACAATGTAAAAATAAAAAATCAGTCAACACATCTTGTCACTGTGGCGCGAAATGAATTTCTAGCAACTTCAGTAAAATTAGAGAACAAGTAACTTCTAGCATGACTGATCAACTAACACCGCCATTTTTCAATTTACTAAAGCAATTCTAATTTGGGCGTTTGCTTGCGTAGATCATAAAATTTTGTTGAATGAAATAGAGAGATGGAGTATCAGAGGTAAAGCATTCAATTGGATAAAATCATACTTTTCCAAAGATAGCCGCATGATATGAAACTAATAATAAATAGCAGTAAAACGAAATTTCCCCTGATTCCTGAACATGTATAGTTTAATAAAACAAATCATGAGTTCATAGAAAATACAAATTTGTAAGAAGTTCAAATTTATCAATATCTAGACCGGAACCCTAATATACAAATTGTACGTACAAAATTAAACAGTAAACAGTAGAGCTTCTGACATAAAAAGAGATTTTATTATACATAAGATCAATGACTCTTGTAGAGAAAGCGTTAAGCAATTCAAGTAATGACTGTGTATCCAAACTATATTTACGAAAGTCAAATGTTTATATCCAAGAATAAAAATCAGTTCATCGATAATATATTACATATTTTAAACACTCGAACCCAGAATATCATGCTTTACAATTACAAACTTTCAATAACTGAGAAAGAACCTTATTCTAAGTGCATTAGGATACACAACCATCTCCCAAATTCTGTGAAATGTATTAACACAATCAGAAACTTTGAGAAAGCTGTCAAAACATGTAAATGACACTAGAACCATATTCACTTGAAAAATACTTTGGTTAATTATATGGATTAATCGCTATTGTCATTTGTCATTTATACTTTTATTTCGGTAAAAGCGAATTGAAATGAAGGTTTATTACTATTATTCTTAACTTTCAGCGACGCGTTAGATGCTTTGGCATTTACACCATTATTTTTTTCTATTTAAATAATTCAACAAAATTTGGGTGTCATAATGTTAAAAGTGATAAACAGTCGAATTCCTAGGGAGTGCGGCAAAGTTCGATCCTGGAGCTGCTGTTGTACTCTCTATATGTGTTAATCTTAAAACTTGCCAATCTCAAAGCGCGGTATTTTAATTTCGGCGATACTGCGTTAGTCTACACATGAGAAGAGGTCAACATTGTCCTCAAGAAATATGTTGATTATTGTATAGTAATAAATTAAAAATCAATATAAATGGAACAAAGTTTATGGTTTTTAAAGAAAAAATAAAGATGTATAAAGGTGTATTGTTAATATTTATCCACATTACACCCTTGGAACAAGTAAATAATGTTAAATATTTAGGGTTAATTGCGGATAATACATTAGTTGGAACATTCTTCATATACTTCTAATATACCATCGAGTTTGGGCAACCTTGTATAGTAAACTCACACACATACAGTTTTTAGTTTGGATCAATTAGAATTAAAACTAAAAAACACTTACCCGCAAAATTACTCTGTGCCGGATATACGAACATTGAATTCGCGTTATTTCTCGTGTTTGTGAGACTCCCGGTAACATAGGGCGATGACAGTAAGGCGAAAGCTTCTTCGACTTTTATTTCTCTCACATTCGGCGCGAAAGTTCTCATTCCCAGTACAGACGTGTGATTGTCCTCTAAGTACGCCAAAGTTCCTCCATTAAAATCGAAGGTTTCGGCAATTATTTTAAGGGCATGCGTGGCTCCTGATGTGAAGATAACTGAATATTCTTCTGAAGTTGTTTCGAAGCAGTCAAGAACCCTTAAAAAAGGCAATCTTCAACAAAAAAGAGACGACTCAGTGGCAATGAAGAAGGAAATTAAGGGAACCATGTTCAAACTTTTATTATTATTGTCATTATTTATTCTTTATAACATTTACTAACCAAAACTAACTAGTTCATAAAACAAGAATTTACAAAAGTTAATACGTACAAAAAACTACGACGAAAAGGCAAAAATAAAAAATATACATATTATTCATTGATGCGAGTTTTGCAGTGCAGGGCAAACCTGCACAGATATCCGCGCCGATTCTAGTTCTATTCTAGATTCTAGATTCAGTTGATCTACAGTTGTTACTTCTAACTTCGTGTTAAACAGGCGATGTAAACAGTACTCCGATTATAAAATTCCTCGTTGTTACGGAATGTCATATATTCTTAAACGAAAATTCCCCCCTTCGGCCTATTGTTAGCACCAACCTGCTCCAAACTGTTCTCTAGAAAAAATCTAGCTTCCATATTAAAACTCTATATAGAGAAAACTGATAGTTTGGTACTTAATTGATTTCACTTCTTTCAACAACCATTACACCAAAATTCCTACCCTGAAACTCAAAACATAATATCAGGTGTATTCAAATCCAAGAGTCTGAAATCATTTTTTTTAATTATAATTGAAAATGCTTATGTTTTTCTTGCAACAATCAAATTTATGATCAAATATCAGTCGCAGCTAAGTGATCTCAGTTCTTACAAGTCATCAAAAATACATAAATGTAAGATTTGGAGACGCTACGTTATTGATACTTATTTAGTTTTATATTCAAGAATCCCTCTTATATTTTCTTAATTGAACTGAAATAGAAACTAATAGTGCATTTCGACATTGCGATCTGACAAAAAATTTTTATAGGAGGTTAAAACCATCGCAACCCGAATCATTGGAAAAGGAATTATAACAATTAACATCTGCTCTTTTCACAAATAATTTCCACTCCTGCCATTATAAAACACACTTCAAAATAACCTCTCCAAGGAACTAAGTTCCAAAGCAAACCTACATTGGCTACTGTAGTTTCTCCTTCCATTCAAAGCATTACAGACATATGAGGCTAACAGTTTAATAACAGACTAAGCCCAAAATACTCAAAATGGACTAACCCGCTTTAGTCCATTCTTGCTTTAAAGAATCGAGAACAATATTTAAATGCAATAATGGTTTATGTGCTGCTCTCTAGTAAATATAGAGGAAAGGTGGTGTAGTCAATTTTTACATTTCACTTTACTGTGTGTTACATCTATTGTCCTGAACGCCTCATATAATGTTAGTACCAATGTAGTACCAAAAATCTCTCAACATTTACGTTCCATCAAAAATAAAATTTAGTTTGAGAGGAGTTCCAAGGATTGGAGAAACAGGGAGACAAATGTCAACTAAACTAAAAGAACATAAAGTAAACTTAAGACTACGCAAATAAACTGAATAAAACTTTTTCAGAACATCATATAACCAGACATCACATCTTATTCAACCAAACTAAACTTTTTGCATGTAATCAATTCGTCTACCACCTTTCAGTTAGCTCGGCCCGTCAAAGAGTATATAACTAGGTGCAGAGTAGAATACAAATCAGTTTCAATTAAGCTGTGCTGAAGCCAACAGGATGTGACAAATTCGATTGATCAACAATGACGCATGAGAAATCCAGGAGATTTGTAAACAGTAGTATGTAGAATAGAATTTCATTTACTGGGACTACATGCACTGCAACGTTCAGTATGGCACACCTTAATGAGATCATCTAACTCGGAAATATGTATGATAATTTATTACTTAATTAATACTTTTTTCGAGAGTATAGACTCCAAAGGCAAATGGTTTGGGATTCTGGGATATTAGCTACTAATTTGTCCAACTGAATATATTTTTTTAAGTTTTAATCTTCCTTCAATCTGAAAGCATCAAATAAAACTAAGTGATCAGCATAGAGAAGACGGCGAATGTAATATCAATTTTCTCTAGAAATCAGTCAATCAGTGGCTGAAGCATTCTTGCATAAGATCTTTATAATATCGATAAAGTTGGGACTACAACTATATAGTTTGTAAATGCCTTCGCTACTGTATTCAACTTAAACAATGTCGCACCAGTTCAATGGTACTTTACCTTAAGCAAGATACTAGAGAAAAAAGAGTTTTAGAAGTCAGTTTTGGGGAAAATTCCCAAAGGATGTCAGATGAAACTGCTGGAAAACAACTCTTCTTCTTTATTTTAATAAAGCTCCAAAAGAAGTGCCACCTTATTAGTCCCTTAGGAAGTGATCAGCATGACTTTTCTCTGGAATTCGTCAAGGAAACAGTACATCGATTGAGGGCAAACGACAGTGATGTCAGTGAAGTTCGCAGACTAAAGAGAGTGTTGCCATCCGACCTAAGTACAGAACTGAGAAGCTATTATCTTCATTCGGGTTTAAAGGCCGTCGTCGATTGGAATTACTTCCTAACGTTTCGCTAGCACGAGTGGCGAGCTTCTTCAGAGGTCCTTCCATCTCCGATGTTGGACGTAGACAGTCTACGTCCAACATCTGAGAATTAAAACGGCTCGCTCGGAAAACCGTATATAGGAGAAAAAATAAAAAATATTATAATAAATCATAAAACAGGAATAGAAACTATTCAGAACAGAGAAAATTATCGTTATCTGGACACATCAGCAAAACAGTAATACATATTATTAGTATAAAGAGAAATTAGAAGTACACATCGCATAGTATCTCTCATATTGCTCGCTACGTCTGGCAAATATTTTATGTATTTGTAACTTATGTTTATATAAGTGACCGCTCCTTCTAAATTTTGTATGCAAACCATTTTTTTCGATATCATCACTTGTCACGTTTTTATGTCGAAATTTTTGAATTTGGCGCTATGAAAGTGGCCACGTGACTGGTGTCAGTTGATTTTGTTTAATGCTTCTTAGTCTATCTCTGCAAGAAATGTGCATATCTCCAAAAAGGCGTAATGTATTTTAATAAAAATAGATACATCTTCCGGATTTACCCTGCATCGCTTGTTGATAAATCGAACTTGCTGACGTTTCGCCAAATTCTTCAGAGATTCACTGAAACAACTAACGCAGAGCGAAACCAGACGACGTGTAAATAGTATTACAGTAGCCTGTAAAAAAGGATAATTTGTATCTGTCTACTTCAAATCACATGCTGATAGATCCCTATTAGCTTACTATTTTGTTTTCTTTAGGCTTATGTAAAGTCTGATGCGGGTTTCTTGTTGTAGAAATGTAATTCCTTATAAACAATAAATACTAATATAATGTAATATAAACAAAATATACATTAACGCGTGGGAGTTTTTTGAAGAAAAGAACAAGCTATCATTCACGCTATCTGCGACCCGAATGCAATTGCTTATCTTACCACCTGGCAGCATTTTCTGACCTAATTGCACGAACATTAATCTGCCAAAAAATGAATGCAACATGTGGCCATTAATGGTCAAATAAAGCCCAAACAACTAGGTGAAAAACACATCGCATTATCATTATGCTATCTCAAAATATAAATGAAAGAAAGTGGATTTTGGTAAAAAATGTCCACGATCTGGGTTGTAAATTAAATTTTTTCCCTTGACCTTTTCACTTTTTTTTAAACCGTCCGTCCTACCTAGGCTTACTGGGATACATAGTATTACTTATTGAGCCATAAACTAAGGGACAATGCTAACAAAATCAAATTTACCGATTTTAAGGAAATAAAGAAATATAAAACAGTACTGAACACCAATAAAACTACTGGTTCCTTAAATCAAATACTGACACTTTCCGATTCCGGTCGCCTCGGTCATATAACGGAAAAAAATATTTAAGAATAAACAGTAAGTATTTTATATGCGATAAATGTTTCCTCTCACGCCACTATCGCTGCTATATGAACAGTTTACAGGATAGTTCGTGAAGTGGCATATGAAAAAAAAAGCATTTTCATTAATCATGCTTAGGTCAGAGTGCCAGAAAATGAGGACGAAAGTAATTGAAATCGCATGCTTGGAAATGGTGGTTCAGAAACCTTTGCAAGAAGCATTCGTCATCTATCTACTTTTATAAAAGTTGAGTACTAGCTTCAGTTTACAAGTGAATGAGACGTTAAGTGATAAACTAGTTTTTGATGTGAAATATGTTATCGTCACGTAGAAGTAAGTCGGTGAATAATTATTTTGCATGATATCGTTAAACGTAGATCAAACGTCGAATTGTGACATTTTAGATGATTCAAAATTTACGTCATTAATTTGGAATGTAGGATTTTTGTGCATTTGCCCAAACGTCGTATAGTGAACCCTTATGTCGGCGGCAGTATGATTTTCTAGCAATGATATTGCGTCAAACTTGGTTAAACGTAAATGACCAAATTGCTATAACCTGACTTGTTTTGGATTTTTGATTTGAACAATTTATTTAATTATTTAATGTCTTCAAGGAAAAAAAGGTACCGTCGACACACCGTTAAAAAAAATAAAATAAGGTGACTCGGGTAAGTATTTGAATGAACGTGTTTTTCAACACAAATGTTGATATGCAAGACTACTTTCAATAGCGAAACTACGAAGCGGTAATTTCTCCTTCCTCCTACTGATATGGTCCTACGTCACCCAATTCTTTCACGCAAACTATTTTAAAGTGCCTTATTTTTGCAAAAATTTACGAAACAGTCATTTGCTTTTGGTCGGGAAAGTCCATCTGTGGTTGAACTACACTAGTATAAATGACTACAGGTGGACATTTTGCTGCTGAATTTTTTTCGTGGTATTTTGGTTACTAATATTAAGTGCATTTAGTTACTACGCCATTGTTTGGATACACGAGAGAAGGTGACGTGACGGCCATTGGAAAAAAGTTAGGTTTTTCTAGACTGCTACGATTCTTTCTAATCCATTAACCAACTTTTTGAAATCTTATGGTTATTTCTGCGTTCGCGAATGAACATTGATTAAAACAACTGATAATATCAAAATTTTATTTTTTGGAAAATAAATGAGAAACGCATTATTTACGGTTTTTTAGGCCCACGGAGTTTTTTCTTTTGCTTCTAAAATAATCATATTTTATTTAGTCAAGGGTCCTTCGCAGGGATATTTCGCTTAGGATTTTGTGTGTAAGTCTTCTGACTTACCATATAAAAGCGGAAGAAATTATTACGGGTTAAGTTGTTTTGTTAACTACCCCCTGGTGTGTCTGTTTAAATTCCAAAATAATAGGTCATGACCACCCACTTGTTGCATAAAATATTACCATATTGCCACTGACCAAAGGTGGAAATTGTTTTATAATCTTCGTATCTAGGTTGAATCCACAGTGCATACAATTTGATATATAATAATAACAGTACGTCTATAGCCACAATACTAAATAATAATAATAATAATTAACGCAATTTCTTTCTGTGACAACGCAGTTGTTAATAGCTGATTAGAAACGTATTCCATTTTGCCATTTTATTTTCATTTTATTCTAATGCAATGTAAATGTAAATTATCTTGAAAATCGCGAGAGATAGAAAAGGAAATTGGTGAAAATAAAGAGAGGCATTTTATTTAAGGAATAACTTAAAACAACAAAAATATAAATCATTCCATTTAGGAAAATTGAGACATGAAGATTTTAAATTTCATTATTTCTTCCTCATATTTAGAGATCCATCATAAAATAAATAAATCCGGCGAGTTATACAGCAGGACCAGCCGACGAAGTGCATAGCTAACACGCAGATGGCTGACTGATGAATTTTATATATCCACTCGACACGTATTGCGAAATGCTTTAAACAACCTAAGCGTTAGTTTAATAAAATATTGTGAAAATAAGGAGTGTTTTTTTTTCGATGTATAGAACTTTAAATTGCAATAAAACAACGATGGATTATTCGATTGACATGAATTTTATTTATCCGAAAGATAATCTTGTGGCATTACATTTTAAATATGATTTCTGGCATATGACTCCTACGGCTGGCGCGGATGTAGTCCAATCTGGACGTCCAATTTTCGATGACTTTTTCAACATTTGTGACTGTATATCGGCAATAACAGGGCGAATGTTGTCTTCCAAATGGTCAAGCGTTTGTGGCTTATCCGCATAGACCAATGACTTTACATAGCCCCACAGAAAATAGTCTAGCAGTGTTAAATCACAAGATCTTGGAGGCCAATTCACAGGTCCAAAACGTGAAATTAGGCGGTCACCAAACGTGTCTTTCAATAAATCGATTCTGGCCATCATCGTTTTTGAAGAAATGCGGACCAATGATTCCACCAGCCCATAAAGCGCACCAAACAGTCAGTTTTTCTGGATGTAAGGGTGTTTCGACATACACTTGAGGATTGGCTTCCCTCCAAATGCGGCAGTTTTGTTTGTTGACGTAGCCAAATCGGAAACAACGGCAATCTAGTTTTGGGACCGTTCGACGATCTACGCTTTACTTGATGATCGTTTAGTTTCAATTCTTGCACGATTTGGATTTTGTAAGCACGTAAACCAAGATCCTTCGGCAAAATCTTCCATAAAGTGGATGGAAACAGATCCAATTCCTGTGCTCGATGGCGGATGGACTCATTCGGGTCTTCCTCAATGCTACGCTCCACAGCAGCAATAGCTTCTTCTGTACGCACCGTACGGCGTCTCTGGGAATGCTTATCAATAAGAGTAAACGTGGTGCGAAAACGTTCCATGGTTAATAATAAAAAAAACGATAAAATGGACGTAGTGCGCGATACGTATTCCGCACAGAACCATTATTTTCGAAATAAAATTGCACTATTTGCAAGAGTTGTTCAGGCGTGAGTCTATTCATTGATGAATTGCCAAACCAAACTGAGAATAAATCACTTGATAGCTGTTAAATTGGTAGCCATCTTGAACAGTAATGCCAACTTAAAGTTCTATACATCGAAAAAAACACCCATTATAATGTTTTTCTACTCCCTTCCTTGAAATACCCAATTATACAGCGATCCAGTCTGCGGAAAGGTCATTTTATTAAGTCAATTTTGCTCACCTACGGCTGCAAGCCACTCTAGGTTGAAGCAATAAGCAAAACAAGGTGTTAGTACATTTTTAAGAGATCCATTAAATAAAAACGCATATCAGAATTGAAAAATAAATTAAGATTTTACAAGGACGTGCAGGTCTTATGTGTAGCACCTACTTGTATCTCACTAAATCCACAGCATCTGCAGACGAACGACTGGATAAACTCCTACCGTGGGGATTGGAGTAAATATTTTGGGCTAAATCTGACCAAACTGATTTAATCTGCTCTTCGGAGTATAATGTCGCTCCAGCATGGTCGAGATAACATGTTTCTAAAATAAAAGATAAAGTACGTAAATTTTACACCCAACAGTGGTCGTTTTCGCCAAAACATTGAATTCAAAGGAGATATTTTATATTAAAAAATACACACTTGAAATAACTGCAGGGAACCTTGAGACATCCTGTAGAATTCTACAATAGTAAGTCTTGACAGCAACAATTGATCTTATAATAGTAAATAATTTTGACCTTTTTTTCATCTACTATTTACACCGTCAATTGTTTTTCTTAATTACCTTTTTTTTGGTTCATAATATTTACTATTAAAGAAAAATTCATATTGTGTTATAATTTATTAAGTAATAAAAGTGAAGCTAAAAAGTACATCAATAAGTTTCAATGGAGTCAAATTTTAGTGAAAAAAACATTTTACAATATACACCGTCAGTTTAGGAGGACAGGCATCCCGCACTACAAAAAGAAAAAAAACTCGTCAGATACTCAGTAAAGAAAAGCAACTATATATTCTATTGCACTTTGAAGATAGGCCTACAAGTTTTTGCCAGCGCAGAACCTTGAACAGTGGGATTTTAATTTCATGTTAGAGCACTGCAATAATTTTGTATGCAGAAATTTCAACCAAAATATTTTTGATGACATTACTTCGACTGATGACGAAAGAATTTACTGAAGGTAATTTAAATTCTCTGTGGTACCTAAAATTGCTGCACGATACTGAACCTTCAATTGATCTTTCAATACCACCAGAAGAACGAGAAAATTTATTTTGGCAGCAATATGGTGCTCCTAAACACTAAAATTCTGCCGTAGAAAACTATTTAAGTACGAGGCATAGGAAACGGATTGGTCAATACGGTGATCATCCTTGGCGCCCAAGGAGCCCAGACCTAACTCTACTTAACTTTTTTTGCTCCTAAACAAATCTGAAATTCAAAAATAAACCCACCCAAGCCACCCAACCCAGAGACCAAATACGCGAAGGTGTACAGTATCTAAATGAAACTGAGTTTGTTCCAAAAGCAATACTTCATTTAGAAACGGCATCCACTGTTTTCTAATTGAATGGCAATAATTAAGAAGGCGATTTGTGAGTCGATTTTAAAAAGAAAACTTCATATGAACATGAACTGCTTAATTTTTGAGATACAGGGTGGTTTTCAAAAATAAAATATATTTTTTTAATATCTGTAATTCCATTCTACATATTTTAATAAAGTTTGGTACACATGTACTATGTATCAAAGTTTTAAAATAAAAATTATTCTTAGAATCTCCAATCATTCCGATATGCGGTTTTCTCTTAAAAAAATAAAAACTTTCTCTGCATGCTCATAGCAATATCGTTAACATGACAGCATGCAGAGAATTACTATAATTATTATTTCTTACTTAAGTAATTGTCTATCTGTTTTATTGAAATACTTCAAAAAATCAAAATACGAATACAAAGTACGTAAATTTTATGAAAAATAAATAAAATAAATGTAAATATGAATCGTTTATTATTTAACTTGTTGAGATGTTATGTTATTTCATTAAAACTGTAAAAGAAAAGAGAACAGTCTCCTAATATTTTGTTTTTTTGAATAACACTAGTTGCTAACTAAAAACTAGATATTTTGCTTTAGATACATATTTTATTTTTCACAAAAGAAAGTCCTAGATTTTACCAGTGCAGTGGCGACCTAATTAACCAAAATATTATTTGTTCGTAGATGGTCGCCACTGATTTCCTTAAAAACAAACACTGACATTGCATTCTTTTATGAGCTGATTTGGTCTCTTCCTTTTTTTTTAAATCCGTCGCACGGTTTTTATTTTAAATTAAAAACTAATTACTTTGCATGCTGTTATATTAATGTTATGACGATGCAGCGAAAACCGTAAATCGAATTGAGAAAATTATAAAACTAAATTTCTCTAGAAATGATTGGAGATTGTACGAATAGTTTTTATTTTAAGAAAAATCAGTGGCGTACCATCAATATCTGTGTATTTTTAAAATTAATGGATACTAAATAATACCTCTTGATAGATAGTACATGTAGTTATTCATAAAGTATATTTCATTTTTGAAAACTTTACCACCCTGTACCTCAAAAGGTAAGACGTTTAGGATATATATTCATATGAAGTTTTTTTTTCCAAATGGGCCCAAAAATCGTCCCTTAATCATTGACATTCAATTAGAAAACACTCTGTATATTTAAAAAATCCTCTAAAATAATTGTTATTAATTTTTTATAGCTAGTATTATTCATGGTAAAAAAATTCGTTTATAAAATATTTGTTATAATATTGTTCGATATTTCCTTTTATTTTTAATTTGTTTTTCATGGTAATACTAATACTTCATCAAAATTTCTTATGAAACGGATCGTTTTTATAGATTGCATATTTCTCTACAGGTTTTATTAGGAAAATGGGATTCTTACCAATAACTCAGAAATTTATTGAAATTGCTATGACCAGCGGAAAAATGTATGTTTATGTTTCATAGATCTTCCACCAAGTTCATCATCACACACTTATACAGCTGCCCCGACAGCTTGACTTGGACCAGAAAGACATTTGGTGCATTGAAATAATGTACTGACACCACTCAGCACAGTTTTCGTTGGACGGTGCCCTGACTACACAGGTCAGAATTCTTTGAGATGTACGGCAAGGATGTATAGTGTCGCACCTCTAGTGTAACCTAAATTTCGTTAAGTACTTGCATAATGTCATCACATTCCAGATTTTGGATAGGTATGAACACAGTCGCGATGATGACTAATTCAACGTAAGTAACTACGTGACTGTGTTAGATATGGCGAAAGATGCTCGCGAGTGTTATTAAACAAAATTTATTATTATATGGACCACAAACAGAAATTTAAGGAGTCAAACTAAACGAATCCACCGAAACGAATCAAAATTATTTTCAAAAAATTAAAGAGCAAAACGCAATATGTAGGAAAAAGAAACATGTATATACGCTTTCACACATTAACAATCAGTAGGTATCACTCATCTACCTATAATCTTAACGTTATTTTCAACAATGAAACCTGTAATAATCTCCGCACAGCAAGTTTCGGAAATACCTCTGAAGTACGTAGACTATCTAATAACATCAAAAAATTAAAGCAAAAGATTGGTATATGTAGGAACAACAACCGTTTGTTTATACAGGGTGCGGCAAAATGATAGGTACTATTTGGGATGTTAATGAAAACCAAACTCCATAAAGGAAACATTTTTTAAACTATTTTTGAAATGTACATTTTATGCCATTTAGGAACGTTATTTTTTAAAAATGATGTCTCTTAAATGACGGCCATTATTGTCGATGCACTCTTGTAGGTTCTCGTGGAAGCGCATCATTACCCGATGGATCATTTCTTGGGGAATTGAGGCAATTTCTTGTTTTATGGCTGCCTTTAATTCTCCCAAAGTCCGCGGACTATCTGTGAAAACTTTGGCTTTCAGGTAACCCCAAAGAAAAAAGTTGCAAGGCGACAAATCAATCGAACGTGGAGGCCAGCCAAGATCACCCCGTAAAGACACCACTTTGTTCAGGAACATTTCTTGAAGAAGATTTAGTGAACGACGCGTTGTGTGCGATGTAGCACCATCCTGCTGGAACTAAATATGTTTTCTTTGATCGTTGTTCAACTCTTTCACTTTTGGACGCAGGAGATTGTTAAGCATATCAAAATATCGTTATCCGTTGACTGTTACCGTTATTCCATCTTCTTCAAAAAAGTAAGGACCCAACAGGCAGAACTCCGAGATTGCACAGCAGACGGTGACTTTTGGACTGTGAAGAGGTCGCTCATGAAGTTCCTCTGGACTATTTGCTGCCAATAACCGAAATTTTGCTTATTTACGGTACCCGAGAGGTGAAAGTGAGATTCATCGCTAGACACGAATACAGCGCTTCTGGGAATGTTTTGAAGAATATATTTGTACGGGTTTCAAAATCTCTTGCCCTTAATTCCTGCACTACCATCATTTTGTACGGATGCAGCTGGAGTGAGTCGTGTAAAATCCTTCTAATACTTCTATCGGGAATTCTCAAAGCAGCTGCATGCTTACGAGCTGAACGCCTTGGAGACTGTTGTACGTAAACTCTTACTGCATTCACATTTTCCGGTGTTCTTACTGTCCTTGGTCGGCCAGTAGATTTTCGGTTAAGTGCAGAACCTGTTTCCCTGAAGTGTAAAACCCACCGACGAATTGTTCTTCCATCCGGAACCGTGCCATGCCGACCAACATCAAACTGATTACGAAAGGCGCGCTGCGTCGCTATTACAGATTCCCCATTTCTTATAAACTCCTCGACAACGAAAACACGATGCACTCCGTTTCAAGCCATGTCGATAACTGAAAATTGCATACTTTTGTCTGCATAACGCGAGTGCGTACATAGTGTTTTACAAACCGAACAACCACTATTTGAAATTTTGCCTACCTTTTTGCCGCACCCTGTACTATCATCTAGCCTAATTATATCAAAATATAACAATTTTGTCGTATCTTCATCGCGTACTCCATTTTTCCCCAACAAAATGAGAGCAGAGCAGTCAATATTGAGGAAATGCAAATAAACTTAAATTATAATCCTGGTGCAATCACGAATTTGCCTAATTTTCACAAAATAGTTATATACATTTAATATAAATCGCCATAGAAACTTTTTTTTCGTAAGTTTTTTACCAACAAAATCAAATGTTTATATATAAGACTAGGATCCAAAGAATTTAAACAACACATCCGCGTTCAAAGATCGACAGAGGGCAGTAAATATTTGGAACAATTTGTAATACCTTCAAAAGTTTGCCTAATTTCCCCAAAATAGTTATATATGTAATATAAAACTTCATGGAAATGGATCTTTTTTTTATACCCCATACAGGTATCGTCAAATTTTAGCAGGGGGTTCAGGCGGCATAGTAGAAACGTTCATACATCTTCGTGGCGTTATCACCAACGATTACGTCGATATGCATTCGTGACACAGGAGGATTTTATACGTCATCAT